AATTGGTAAATTTATTATTATTATTATTACTGTAAAATGAAAATAATAAAAGTATATAATTGTAATATTTTATTTTTTTCCATAACTTATTAATTAATATTTAATTGCTTAATGCTTTATGTATTAAAATTTTTAAAATTTATTTCTTAATTTGTATAATTGTATAATCATTTTTTATTAGCATTATTTAATTTATCATTTTTAAAACATTAATTTATAAATATATTGCGATTTTATTGAAATACTTTATAATAAAAATTCCAATATAATGTATATTGCAATCTAATAGAGAAATTAATAAACTAAGAAAACATGAAAATAAAATTAAAGTAATAAATAATTAACATTTATATAACAATTGATAAAATTTGTCGACACATGAATTAACTGATGCGGCCGTAAGTATGATGAATAGGAATGCAATGAAAAACACAACTACACCGTAGGTCAACACTATTACCGGTATGACATCCATCTTAACAAACAGTAAGGTATATAAGCCGACAACAGTTGCCGAACAAAAAGTCATCCAAACGTATAGCAAAATCTTTGACCAATAAGTTTGGTTATAGTCTGAGATTTCTGTAAACAGTTTGTCCAACGATATCATAATATCTACTAATTGATAGTTATTTAGCTGGTGTTTAGCAGTTAATTGTCGATAGTTTTCATTGATTTTTAATTTCAAAAACCGGCACAGTATGTAAAAATAAATGACTTGAAATAGTAGTAAATTAAACCAATTATGAGCCCATAGAGTTAGAAACATAGCATGAGGTATACCATATAGTAGGGCATAATTTATTGGGACATTTATAATAAATGCCGACATTAGTACTGCTATACTTGGCAGTGGTATAATTTATGTATTATTAAACTGACACCATTGGCATAGCCTACGGGTCAATTTGATGAGCTTATGTATATCGTGGAGTTTTGTGAGACCAATACTGGCCGGTGTTCGTAAACCGGATATCATTTCGAAAACCCGCATAAATGTCGGTTTTATGTCAAACTTGTAGTTATAGTAATAGGTTAGCTGTGATAGTAATACTAATACAATTGATAGTGAAGAAAATACGTGCAACAACGCTGGTAATCCCCAAAAATATACCCATTCACCCAACAGTGCCAACATTTGCCAATTATCCGCATCAATGAACAAACCGATTAGCCTTTGAATTAAATATAATACGCAAACAATGGTTATAACAATCGGTTGGTGAAACCATTGTCTCTTTGGCCAGCAATTACTGGCCAATTGATCGTAACTTAAGCCAATGCCATATAAAATATAGGCCGACCACTTATAGCAATTGTTTGGCGGCAATAACTTATTGACCGAAATGTTGTACATTTTTTTTTATAATAAATTTGTAAAATTAAATATATTTTATTATTATAATTTAATACATTAAAATTTTTAGATAACACATAGTATTAAAAATATATTAATAGTAAATTTAAATTTAGATCATTACAAATATTATTATAAATTTACATTAATATTTTTATTGTTATTTGTGAATATTTAATAATAACTTTTTCTTAATAATATTATTGATAATTTAGTTGCAATATTTATTATAAATAATCAATAATCATTATTATTAATATTATTAAAATACAAGTACTGTATGCTTTTATCTACTATATATATATATATATATATATATATATATATATATATATATATATATATATATATATATATATATATATATATATATATGCTAAATGTATGCTAAATATAATCTAATATAAATATTAAATAATTAATTATCTATTTATTAAAATAATATTTATTGTTTATGAATAACATACAAACTAAATATTTTATTTTATAAAAATTTTAAATAAAAACATATTATGTACTGTATTAAAGCTATAGTAAATAGTAAACAATAATATAAAATGGAAATTTCTTATAATAGCATAATTATATACTTTTATATTAAATTTATTTTTTTATTTTTTTAAATATTGCAATGTTTATTAATATTACAATGAAAATAATAAAACTATTATATAATTGTAATATTATTATTTTTAAAAATTCCATAGATTACAATTAATATTTAATAATGTAGTATTTAATTGTAAATTACAATTTGTAATATTATTAGTTATGTTTTTAAAAAAATAGTTTTTAATGTAAATTGGATAATCATAAATAAATTATTATTAGTCAAACATTATAATTTAAAAATGTATAATTATTAAAACAAATAAATATAGACAGACCATTTTGTATAAATTATTTTATTTAAATACATTTTTAATAAAAGGTTAGAAATAATATTTGGATAACATAACATATTAAAATTAAAATTTAATTACGATAATTATTATGTAAACTTTATTTCTTAAATATCGATTTATACTACAGTACTATCATATTTAATATTGTGATAATTTACTAAATAATATTTAACTATATAATCATTTTTGTAATGTATATATATATTTTTATATATCAGTTAAAATTTCAATATCAAATATGATAATTGAAAAATTTATTCATGTTTGTTTTGATTATTACTTACTAATTAGTAAAAAATTGTAATTATAATGTGTAATTTATTGTAATTTATTTAATATTATTGTTGATAAATAATAATTATTTTTTTCGCTCAATCATTAATTTAAATATTAATAAATAAACATATTAAAAAAGTTTCCAGAATAAATATTAATTGTTATATTATATAAACTATAAAATAAATTATTAATATTTATATAACAATTGATAAAATTTATTAGCATTATAGGTGACCGATGCGGCCGTAAGTATGATGAATAAGAATGCAATGAAAAACATGACTACACCGTAGGTCAGCAAAGTTCCCGGTATGACATCCATCTTAACAAATATTATGGTATATAAGCCGATAACAGTCGCCGAACCAAAAGTCATCCAAACGTATAGCAAAATCTTTGACCAATAAGTACTGTTATAGTCATTGATTTCGGCAATCAATGTGTCCAACGATATCATGATATCTAATATTTGATAAGTATTTGTCTGGTGTTTAGCTGTCAGTAGTCGTTGTAAGTGTCGATAGTTTTTATTAAGTTTTAGTTTCAAATATCGGCACATTATATAATAATAAATCACTGGAAATAGTAGTAGATTACACCAATTATAAGCCCATAGAGTTAAAAATATAGCATTAGGTATACCATATAGTAATACATAAATAATCGGAACTTTCACAATAAAAGCAGACATTAGTATTAATATACTAAAAACAGTTATAATGTATGTATTATTAAACTGACACCATTGGCATAGCCTACGGGTCAATTTGATGAGCTTATGTATATCGTGGAGTTTTGTGAGACCAATACTGGCCGGTGTTCGCAAACCGGACATCATTTCGAAAACCCGCATAAATGTCGGTTTTATGCCAAACTTGTAGTTATAGTAATAGGTTATCTGTGATAGTAATACCAATACAATTAATAATGAAGAAAATAAGTGCAACAATGCTGGTAATCCCCAAAAATATACCCATTCACCCAACAGTGCCAACATTTGCCAATTATCCGCATCAATGAACAAACCGATTAGCCTTTGAATTAAATATAATACGAAAACAATGAATATAAGAATCGGTCGTTGAAACCATCGTCTTTTTGGCCACAAATCACTGGCCAATTGATCGGAACTTAAGCCAATGCCATATAAATGATAGGCCGACAACTTATAGCAATCAGTTGGCGGCAATAGCCTTGTGGCTGATAAATTAATAGACATTTTTTGATAAAATTTTGAATTATAGCAATTTTTATAATAGAAAAAATATGATATAAAAGTACTAATACTATATTATATTATATTTATTATTAAAAAAAAATCATTAAGCAATATCATTAAAATACAAGAATAATTAAATCTCCAATTATACAGTATATAATTAAAACTATTGTGCAACATGTTTACTAAAAACTTTATTTTTATTATATTAAATTATTAACAGTAAAAAAATCTCAATTATTATATAATATAGTCTAATTAATATGTCTTTTTAATAAAAATAAAATAGTAAACAATAATATAAAATACTTAATTATAATTACTTTTTATAATTGCTTTTTATAATTAATATTCAAGTTTTATGATCTTATAATTTTAATATCGTATTTTCATTTAACATGAATAAATAAATAAAATTATTGTTGGACTAATATAGATATAGATATTATAGATAAATTTTAGAAATTAACTTAAATTATTTTTATTATAAAATTTTATGGTATTTAATTTTCAGTATTATATAAAATAATAAATTATATAATATTTCAATTTATTTAATGTTATGTTATTTAGATATGATATAAACTTGTTAATTAAATAAGTAATTGACTATTTATTTTTGTATAATATAAATAAAATTGTTAATTACTTTATTCAAAAAAAATATACATAATATTATATACAGTAATATAGTCATAACATTTCGTGATATTTTTATGTTTTAAAAATCAATTAACAATTTTTTTTATTTAATAAAAATGGATATTAATAATAAATATATCATATACAATATCTATATTTTTATATATAATTGTCATAATTGCAAAATTAATTAATAATAACATTTGAACAAAATAAATATTTTTTTTTTTTTGAAGAAAATAATTAATAATTATTTATATCATATTTTTATTTAAAAAAAAAACATAAATATTATTAATCAAAAAAATTATTATTATTATAATTATATCCAAACTTAAATGTCATTTTTTCTGTACGTTTAATAAAAAAATGCAATTTTTTTAGTGGAAATTCCCTCCCATTACTAAACTCTCTCTCCTCTCTCTCTCTCTCTCTCTCTCTCTCTCTCTCTCTCTCTCTCTCTCTCTCTCTCTCTCTTTCTCTCTCAAACACATTGCGCGCGAAACACACAATCAGTTATTAAAATACAGTAAATAATAAAATAATTTCATTGAAAAACATATACAACAAAAACAACTGTTGTTTTTCTCATAATAGCTATTATTATCTATTATATGACCACATGTTTGCTGATCTCAACAGTGATATCAACAATAATAACAACAACAACAACAACTAAACACATTGTTAAACACATTATCTATTAGCTGATCCAATTTGAATCCAACACTAACAACAACAACAACATCTGCAGATGCAAGTGATGACGTCGTTGTCTTATTCAAGACCAACACGTGATGGACACGAATAGTATCGCCGCCACCGACGCTGTCGACAATCACAACAATAACAACAACAACATTGAAGACGATATCATTATCTACAGACAGACTGTCGATAATAAAGAAGAAGTATTTGTTTTGAAGAAGTGTTTTATAAAGTTAGGCGATCGCTGCCAACAGCCGCCAGAAGACGACGACAGCGACGACGAAAAAGCCGACGACACTTCAGACGAAGAGTATCGATACTATCCGACAACGAAGACTAACGGCACCGCTGGACGCGTACTATTGTCCGACGATACCGAAAGTTACGATTCGGATGAGAACAACTTCGGCCGTATTGTCGAAGCATTCAAACGTATTGTACCGAACAGTGATTGTTACGGTAATTGTAATAACAGTGATAGCGATTCAAAACCAACAACGAAGAAGAAGATGGCACCGAAAAAAGGAAGTAAAAGAGGTTCAAACGATCGCCGAAGGATTAGCGATGAACAGCCGATAGTACAGACGAAACAACGAAAATCAAGAGACAACAAAACAAAGATAACAAAAGTCAAGTCGTCAGAAGTGGTGGATGAATCAGTTCGGCCGTCGCCGCGGAAGCAAGAGTTTGCTATACCGTTGGTGGCCGACGAGAATTTACTCGAAGACAACTTTTACCAGACAAATATGGACTACTTTATGAGCCAATCGCTAACCCAGTCGTCACAGTCGTCGCTGATCCAACAAAACGGACGATTTGCCTACTGGCAGATCATCGAACCGGACGATCGGCTTCGGCCGAGAGAACGTACGCACAGATTGGACGGCCGATCGTTTGGACACTTTTTGAAACCGTTGTACGATCTGAGCGACGCCGAGTGGCCGATGCTGTTGAAAGTGCTGCCAGAATACAAGTATACGTTCAGAAGTCCATCGAAATATTCCATACTTTTAGCCCACCGATTGCTCGGCCATTACGAATGGACACAACAGGATTGTCAAGACTTGAGTGATCAGGAATTGTCTGGTTTTCGACGTTCGCAGACGATGTTTATCGGCTCATTCATGAATGATATACTGTTGGCGTGTTATTCGCGCGAAGACATATTGAAAGTATTGTCCGCCGACGACAATACAGCCACTGCCTGGCTATTTGTGTCGAAATTGATCTCCTATTTGATCAACGAGTCTATCAAGAATAACACCGAAACTTTTGGCTACTCTATCGTCTATTTCGAGCTAATTGTCGATATGTTGGACAAAGATTTTCGTCTATTTCTGGCTGAAGCAGACGATTACTGTCAAGACATTCATCGAATCGATCGACAGAACGACAGACGTTCGAAGCCAGTGATCTCACGGCTAATTTGGCCGAAAAAGTCGCCAAACTATATCAACAGTATCTTCAAACAATTGATCTTTTTATTGACAAAGACATTGATTATCAGTGATAATCATCCACTAAGTAGTCAACTACTGGAACAGTTGTTTCGATTGTTTGAATTATGTGCCGAATGTTTGCGTATCGGTTCGGGTAATGTCCGACCATTTACGACATTTGTCTACAACAAATCGACTCCCGTTACCGAACTGTTCCAACAGTTAACCTTTCAGTCGGGTCTTAATCATACAGTGATGTCGACACTGTTATTATTGGCCAATACCTGTTGGGTAAAACTGCAGATATGCGCACAACTTATGACACGCTTTGTTGTTGATCTCAAAAGTAAATACATTAGCGAAAAGTCGAGACAATTATCGCTGAAACTGATTGTCGAATGTTTCACAAACGCAAAGATTAGGTCTCAAAGGTCTGATAGAAGGCAATCAGCGGTCAAAACAACAACTACTACTCCAAGTAGTCGTGAGTTGAGAAGACGAAGTTGGACGACAATGGCCGACGAATCGCCGAAAAAGCGATCGTCGATTGGCTTAATGGTCAAAAGCAAGCCAAAGGAAATTAAGAAGAAGGAGTGGTCAAAGAGGACCAAATATGGTGAGAATGGTTTACACACGACCTGTAAGCGGGGAAATGTCGAAAAATTGCGACAACTGTTGGAGATATCGAGCGATGGTTTCGGTCTCGATCCGAACGAACAGGATTTTGGCGGTTATACTCCATTATGCGAGGCAGCCGTCAAAGGACACACCGATTGTATTCGGGCATTGATCGAGTGGCAAGAGTTGGCCAATCGGCGATTGGATTTCGAATTGGGACCGAAAGGCCAGACAGCGTTACACGACTGCATCGAAAACAATCATATCGAATGCGCCCGACTCTTGCTGGACAGCGGCGGCATGAAGCTGCTGGACGGTGTCCGCCGTACGCTCGATGACCGTACACCGCGCGATCTGATTCGTACGGAAGCCATGAGGACAATGATTGACGAATTGGTCCAACAGAAGACGACGTCAGAGGAAAACAAATTTCGGCCAAAGATTGAGATGAACGGCACCGAAGAGCGCCAGCTATTTGTCAGAGTGTTGGCCCAATTTATTATGTCGTATATGTCGGTCACCCGATTGGATCGGTTTGTTGCCCACGACGACAATCAGGACAAATGGATTGATATATTCTATGAACAGTTTGAACGCGAGGCTACCGCTGCCGACATGACTATCCTAATCGAGGATCTGGCAGTTGTACGCAAATTGCCGACAATTTTGATATCATTGCGTGAATTGTTGGACAACGAGTCGTGCGAACCGATTGAGGACTTGGAGTTTGCGCTTAATTTCTTATTTATAAAGGACTAACTTAGGACTTACATCACTACTGTATTGTTTTTATAAATATATATTTATTTATTTTTAAATAATTTTTTATTTTATTATAATTATCTAATTATAATTACCATAAATTCTTTTATAATTTTTATTAAAGTTGTTGTTTTTTTTGTATCGTTATTTGAAAACTTCGTTACATTATATAATGTTATTGTAATTCATTAATTCAGTCATTGAATTGTTTTTTTTTATTAATTATCATAAATTAATTAAATTTGTATTTTTTCGATATTATATTGATATATGAAGTGATAATTTTGTTTTCAGTATATACCGTGATTAATATGTCTTTTAATTATCATCACAATAATAATTGCTAAACAAAATTTAATAATTTATAATATAGTAGCAAATTATCTATAATGTGAATTAAAATTATTATATTTTATTATATAACCAATTTAAATGCTCATTTTTATAGTAATAATTTTTTTTATATATACCAGTATAATGTAATAAATTGTTTATTTTTTTAATAAGTAATAATTTATAATATAAATGAAATGATATAAATGTTATAATAGTAATAATAAATGACATTTTTTAAAAATGTAATAAATAAATAAAATAATGAAACAAATAGTAACAATTATAGGTAACAAAAATTAATTAAATAGCAATTGGCTCAACGTTTCCCTGTAGTCCGGCAGTCAATCGTAACTCACTGTCCACTGTGTTATGCGCGGCCAATGTGCTCTTATCGAAACCCCAGGCCACGGCCGAAGCACCGGTACCGATAGCTCCCAGTCCTATATACTTGAATGCAGTGCCCACTTTGGCAATCTTTTTACCGGCGCCGCCAATTACTTTGCCGGCAATTTTCAGTCCACTACCCAATGCCTTAAGATGAGCGCCGGTAACAATGGCTATCGGTTTCATTATGATACGACCGGCTACGACGGCTACTTTTTTGGCCAAAATAAACGGTTTGGCAGCCAATGCCAGAGCACCGGCTTTCAGACCAACTGCACCGGCTTTCAGTGCAACAATACAGGGTTTAATGTCTTCGGCACCAGATTTGACCATCGATGCAGTACTTGTCAGTTTGGCGAGTGTTTTGTTCAACATAACCGATCCGATATCCGCCAAATTGTTGTTCTCTTCATTGACAATCTCCATTTCGGTGGCAAACTGTGGCAATTGCCAGGCGACCAGCACTTGGCCAGATTTTTGACCACCTTCCGTGATAACGCCTACCGGTTTATGATTGGCAGCTATCTGGGCGTTGTTAAAGGCAGCTGCTGCCGCTGCGGCAGACAATTCATTGTTGGCCTCGACAGTTATGTGCGGCGACATCAAGGTATTGGACAACTTGTCCAACGGAATGTCCAACTGTTGTAGAAAATCATTTTTTTGTCCATTTCCGTCGGCATTTCCATTGATTTCCACTTCGTTGACCAGATCGAGGGGAACTCCTACGGCGAAACCAGCCATTGATAAGACAATAATTGCTAACATTTTGTTTGCCATTGTTTTTGTTGAGATAGATTTGACGATCACTTTTTCGATAAATAATTTTTACTAATAAAATTTATAAGTTTAGTTATAGTGAAAAACAATTAGATTTATAGTTTGTATAAATAAATAAAATTAATATATAATATATAAATAAAAACTTTTAGTAAAATCAATAAAAAAATAATAATTTTATTTATAACCAACTAATTTGATAGCTAGGAGTGGACTGATAGCCAAACATACAAATTGATGGGTCTTTTATTGTCAATTATTTTGAACTAAAATTATTATTTTAGTTTTATGAGGAGTCAATATTGGTATGATTTTATCATTGAATTTTCATTTATCATTTAACTTGAGTAATGTTTGAAAAATTAAAAAAAGTTATATTTAACTAAATTTCTAAACTTTATTGTTTATATTACTGGAGATTTAAATACATTATACGGTATATACTGTACGCTATTTAATTTACTATAGTATATACCGGTATATTCAACATTAGTACTTAATTAAAATAATTAATATATAAAAATAATTTTATACTTCAATACTACTAATATGTTAGTAGATTTTAGAAATTTAGTATTAATAATAATAATAATATCAATATTATAACATTAATAATACTACTGTATTCAATATTAATTTATATTATCTTTAATACTAATAATACAGTACTTTTTATGCAGTACACATTAAAGTTGCGGAAAATTACATAAAATAAAAGTTAATAATAATTGATATACTTTAATAGCAAAATAAAAGTAATATTGATACTAAATTTCTATACTATTAACTATACTATTAGCTATACTAACAAATTAGTAGTAGTAAAGTATAAAATTATTTTCATATATTAATTATTTTTATTAACTACTAATGTTGAATATACCAGTATATACTACTGTAAATAAAATACCGTACAGTAATTTAAATATCCAGTAATATAAACAGTAAAGTTTAGAAATTTAGTTAAATATAAGTTTTTAAAAAAAATGTTTCCAAACATTACTAAACTTAAATGATAAATGAAAATTCAATGATAAAATCATACCAATATTGACTCCTCATAAAACTAAAATAATAATTTTAGGTCAAAATAAATGACTATAAAAGACCCATCAATTTGTATGTTTGGCTATCAGTCCACTTCTAGCTATCAAATTAGTTGGTTATAAATAAAATTATTATTTTTTATTCATTTTACTAAAAGTTTTTATTTATATATATATATTAATTTTATTTATTTATACAAACTATAAATCTAATTGTTTTTTTCAATAAAACTAAACTCATTTTATTTTATTAGTAAAAATTATTTATTGAAAAAGTGATCAACAAATCTATTAATATCTCAACAAAAACAATGGCAAACAAAATGTTAGCATTTATTGTCCTATCGATGGCTGCTTTCGCCGTAGGAAATCCCGTCACCGAAGTGGTCACCGAAGTAGTGGAAACCTATGGAAATCCTGTCGATGTGGTCAACGAAGTAGTGGAAACCTATGGAAATCCCGTCGATGTGGTCAACGAAGTAGTGGAAATCAATGGATATGCCGACGGAAATGGACAAAAAAGTGTTTTCCAACAACAGTTGGACATTCCGTTGGATCAGTTATCCAATACCTTGGTGTCGCCGCACATAACTGTCGAGGCCAACAATGAAGTGTCTACCGCAGCCGAAGCAGCTGCCTATGACAACGTCGAGGTAGTGGCCAATCATGAACCTGTAGGCGTTATCACGGAAGGTGGTCAAAAATCTGGTCAAGTACTAGTCGCCTGGCAATTGCCACAGTTTGCCACCGAAACGCAGATTGTCGAAGAGGACAACAATTTGGCGGATATCGGATCGGTTATGTTGAACAAAACACTCGCCAAACTGACAAGTACTGCATCGATGGTCAAAACTGGAGCCGAAGACATTAAACCCTGTATTGTTGCACTGAAAGCCGGTGCAGTTGGTCTGAAAGCCGGTGCTCTGGCATTGGCTGCCAAACCGTTTATTTTGGCCAAAAAAGTAGCCGTAGTAGCCGGTCGTATCATAATGAAACCGATAGCCATTGTTACCGGCGCTCAACTCAAGGCATTGGGCAGTGGACTAAAGTTTGCCGGAAAAGTGATCAAAGGCACCGGTACTGGAATAGCTAAAGTGGGCTCTGCCGTCAAATTTACCGGATTAGGTGCTATCGGTGCCGGAGCTTCATCTATGGCCTGGGGTCTCGACAAGAAAGTATTGGCCGTTCCGCTAGTGGCCAGTAATTTGCGTGTGACGGCCGATGTACAGGAAAATTAAGACCTATTGATTTTTTTTATAATTGTTTTCCTAATTTTTATTTATTTCATTATTTATTTTAAATGCCATCTCATTATCTGTATATTGAATATTACTATTATTACTAGTTAGTTGTTAAAACATATTTTATATTTATTAAACCATTATTTCTATTATATAATAAAATATTATTTAAACGTATATTTAAATCAATTTTTATTTAATTAAATATTATACCGTATAATATACAGTAGCTATAAAACTAAATAGCAAAAAAAATATTGGTAAAAATTTCAAATATATAAAAATTTACTAATAAAATATAGCAATTTATAAATATTTTTTTACCATTATATTATTAGTAAATTATTATATATTTGAAATTTTTATCAATATTTTTTCTGCTATTTAATTTTATAACTACAGTATATTATACTATTAAAAATATACAATTGCAAAAAATTGCTAATTTATAAAATATATTACTTTATAGTTAGTTAAATTTGTAATTATTTAATTATTAACTATAAATTAATATATTTTATTAACAAATTTAACTAATACAGATTATTAATTAAAAAAGATAAAAATAAAATTTACAATAAAATATTGTAGTAAATTACTATTGAATATATTACGGTAAAAAATAGTTAATTATAGTATATATCTGTGCACATGCAGCACATGTATGACTACTATTAATAATACTACAGTAATATTACTGCTATTTATTATTATATTAAATATTATGCAAACGTATTGTTGACACAAACAGATGACTCATTAGACGACAACACGTTTACCGCTATAGCATTCAGTAGTGTTTACCGATTGGTATTTTGGTTGCCGTGGACGCCACCCGACGGGTCCTTTTTGAATAAGATAGTTAAATGGATAACAGTGCCAAACAACTACTTGAACAGTCCATTTACCGATAAAGTCTAGCGAGTGGTGTGTATTGTTATCATCAACAATAACAACGACGGGTCATCACTGACCACCTGAACACTTGAAATGGCCGATCCGTTTGCCGGCTTAACGTTCAATAACTTGCAGACCATCAACAGCGGTACGTCTGGCGCTACAGTGGACAAGCGGTCGATGATGATGAGCGCAATGCAACAACCGAACCCGATGTTGTTGCCGACAATGGCCACAACCACTACCACCACAAACAGTATTCAATTGACGCCTACGCCGCCGTCGTCACCAATGTTCAGGACCATAACCACCACCAATGCTGGTCAGTCAACCGGATCCGTCAGCAACGACAGTGATGAACGTCAAAAGTTCGAGAAGTACCGCAAGTTTCAGTTGCAACAGAAACGTCTTCAGGAGATGTCGTTTGCGTCCACAACACTGGCCAACACTACTACTACCAGCGGAAACATCAGCGGACAACACAACCATACGTCTGCCGACCAATTAATGGCCAATATTATCCAGAAAGTGGAAACTGAAGCCAAACTAGACAAACGTTTCTATAGTGGCCATAAACCGTTGCCGTCAGCTGTCAATGCAGGCAACAGTATGACAATTGGTGGACAAGTAATGACTGGTACGACCAATGGTCAACTGTCGATGATATCGGGCGCCAACACAATGTACGGTCACCAACAACACTACCACAACCAGCGGTCAGTGATGACAAATAGCGGACAGATACCGACATCGGCGTCGACTATAAACGGCTATAGTGTTAGTCAACAACAACAACAACAGCCAACGAGTCAGTCGCTATCATCATCACTGTATACACAGAATAAGTCGCTGAAGACGACACCGATTCTTCATCAGTTATTTTCTAATAATAGTTGTTCTGCTGATCAACAAATGAAAAGTTCAAACAACAGTATTAACCAAAACATGACTACTACTACTATCGATACAAACCAATCTACCAGTGCTTCCACTAACCAGACATCATTATTACCAGCAGCAGCAGTAGTAGTATTATCAGCCGATTCATCAACAACATCACAATTCAGACAACAACAACAACAACAGCCAACTGTTACCAGCCGACAGCTTCCGTTATGTTTTAATGATCATTCAAGACTGCCGGCTGTCTATCAACGAGTCTGGCAATACGTAAAAGTTGCCGACGCCACTACCACCACCACCACTACTACCGATTTGTGCGACACTAACAAACTGTATCCGGTTCTACTATCGGTAGGCTTGGCCCAGCCAGTGCTGGCACAGCTCTGGTCACTGGTCAATCAGACAGTACCGGGACAGTTGACCCAACGTGAACTGTTGATGACATTGGCAATGATTGCATTGATCCAACGAAACAGTCTGAATCCGTTAGAAGATATGTATCGTTTAGATACACTACCTGTTCCTATCATCCAGTTTTTTGGCGATTCCAGCGATAGTAATCATAATAATACTAATAATAGTAATCAACAATTAACAATACAATCACTGAACCCCAACAGCGCCGTCATCTCAACGGAACAGCAAATTGTTACCAATCAAGCGATTGGAAGTGATATAACAAAAGGTGGTACACCTAATAATAATAATAATAATAAATTATCAAATCTGGGACCAAATTACGCGCATATTAACACCACTGATGATGGTGATGAAGATTTTGATGATTTTAAGTCAGCCGATTTTTCTACTGTTATAGCACTACAGGAATCAGCTCCGATGCCGACTGGATCAACATTGGATCAGCTAATGGCCACAACCACTACCACCACGGATTGGAAACCTAATTTTGAATCATCGTTACCGCCATCAGCGATGATGATGACGACAACAACTACAAGTAATACTGAAAATGATGACGATTTTGCTGATTTCAAGAGTGCGACTGCAATCAGTCGTCCGACTAAAGAGTTATTGAACACATTTGTGTCGCCAAAGCACGAGATGAGTCCCGCAAATAACTTAAGCAGTGCTCTGGAGCTGAATCTTAAAGCTATGTCATCGACAACAGCAGCAACAACTACAACAACAGCGGTAACAGGATTACAGAGATCATTGACACCGAATCCGACTCCTGTGTTAACATTATCATCGGTTAGCAGTGCGGTAAATTCTGGCCAAAACACGTTGGATTCGAGTCCCGCCGATTCATTTAACGATACGATGATGTCGACCAATACTAATCAATCTGCTGTAGACAGATATAGTGTGTTTCGTGAGTTGACCTCCGACTCGAGGACGACAACTACTGGCAATGGTGACGATTTCGGTAACTTTTTATCACACGAGACCAACTTTGACGCCCAATCGGTGGATAGTTTACAGTTTAGCGCTAATCAGGACACCAATAGTGCTTCCAGCGATGTAGACACTGTCGAGTCGGTGAGTCAACTGATTTTACAGACGGCTCGTCAGATGATACACAAGTCGTTCAATGTATTGGTGGTCAGTCACGGCGCGGACAGTGTTCTGGAAGCCATGAGAAGCTCGGATGGTAATCGTTTTGCCTATGGTTAGCAAATAAAATAATATAAGACTATATTTGTTGAAAATAGTTTTTAATTTTTTAATTTAATTTAATTTTTGTTTTTATAGATTTATTAGAAGTCTATTCAATAGTTAAACGTTTGGCCACAAGTTTGAAGTCAACAGATAAATTGACCGATAGTTTGGCGAAAATCATCGATGATATCGACAAAACATGGCTAACAATCAACGGTGTTTTCGGCAAAGCCGATATTAATCTCGAAAAAGTAAGTTTTTAATTTGTTATTTAAAAATTATAAATATTTATTCGGGTATTAAATAATAATTTTATTGTTTTACTTTTTTTATATAAAAAAATAAGGTATGCGACATACAACTAAACCAACAGAACCAGAGCTCTGGTACATCAATAAGCAAACAGTGCGCGATATGCTGTTGCAAAGCTACCGGCGATCGGCCTATCATAACGTTTGCTGGCCATGAATACCATACAAGTTGTGCCAATTTATGGCTCAACTGTATTAATCCGACACTACCGCAACCCATAGCTAATTGTCGTTAACTTACAGTTAAAATATACAGTAAATGTGTTGTTTATTTATTAAAATAATTTTATTTTTTTTTGGGTAACAAATTCAGTTTATGGGGGCCTAACCTTTTGCACAATTAATTTGTTAATTTTAGTTTTTTTAAAAAAACTTTAATCCCAATTGGTTATGGATTAATATCCATACTTTTAAATCACAATTAATTGTTATTTGAGTACAAAAAACACATGAGTTAATTTTTACAATGCATTTAATTACTGATAATAATTAATTGTTTTTAAATTACAAATTTTCAAAAAAAAGTTCAATCACTAGATCTACTATAATATTGCAATTATTTTTCATAAACTAAATTTGTGCCCAACAAAAAAAATTATGATATTATTAATTTAAATTAAAACATAAAAATCTATTCTAAATTTAATAACAATTATATTTCAATAACTAATATATCAGTATAGGTTTATAGATTTAAAGATAAAAACTTATTTTCTATATAAATATATTATATAATGATTGTTGTTTTGCTACCCTAAATAAATTATATATTTAATTATATATTTAATTATATTTTAAAAAATAATGTTATATAGTTTATTTTAAATTGTTTATAAATATTATATAAATTATGTATTAAAAAAAATCCAGAGATACACAGTATTAATAAACTTGGATTAAATTATTTACAAATTTTTTAGCTAATTTATTTTTAAAAAAAAATTAATGTAAACAATTATAGTTTTTTTTGATTAATAAATTAATTAAAAAGTTTAATTCAGTAATTAGATAACAAGTTTGTATATTTGTCTAATTTCTATTAGTTTCAAAAAAGTTTAAAATAACATTTTAATTTTTTTTTGTTGGTAAAAGTATTATATAATTTGCTAATAAATAATCAAAAGTCTATTAATAAATAAATATTTATTATCAATATATATTAAATAATAAATTAATAAATATGTATATAAAAAATAAAATAATTTCCAATTTTAGCATGATACATTTTTTTAACGAGCATAAAGTTTTTGGTTAAGTTTGCCAACAATTTATTTTTAAAAAATTTTAAATGATAATAATTTATTTATTCAATAAATAAAAATACATATATAATTTTTAATGATCATAATTTATATCCTATTTGAGTTATTAATAAATATGAGATATATTTAAAAAAAATTTTTTTTTTATATACTTGGCACTAAGTTTATCATCATTATTATTAGTAGTATCATTAGTATCATAATAAAAATTGCTTACACAATGTATATGTAATAATAATAATAATAATAAAATAGCCAAGTAACAATTGAATTGAATAAATAAATAGGATAATTATTGTATTAATAACAATGTAATAATAATAATAATAATAATAGTTAAATAAAAACCATAATGATCGCTATTTTTCTAAATAATTAAATAGGGTTGTATAAATACTTATATTACTTTTATTATCTAGTACAATTTAAATCTATAGAAATTATTATCATAGAAATTAAACAAATAGAAAAAAATAAATAATTTTTTATTTTTATTTTTTGTTATTTAGCCCAACACTAGTTTTTAATATATTAATATATATAATAAATATCAATAAATAAAAAATAAAATAAGTTATATATATATATATATATTATATATATCATTAGTATATAATATAGTGTAGACTGTAAATAAACTGGCATTACTGTAAATGTGCACCCAATGTATTATACATACTGTACATACAGTGAAGCACTACATACACAATACATGTATTATTATTATTATTATTATTATTATTATTATTATTATTATTATTATTATTATTATTATTATTATTATTATTATTATTATTATTATTATTATTATTATTATTATTATTATTATTATTATTATTATTATTATTATTATTATTATTATTATTATTATTATTATTATTATTATTATTATTATTATTATTATTATTATTATTATTATTATTATTATTATTATCTTTGTATATCACGGTTGTTCCGGTGTGATCACAGTTGTGTCGGCCACTTTTGGTGGCAGAGACACGACTGGTTAGACTCAACTCAAATCTAGTACTTTTCTGACTGTTCTACAACTCTGAAGTATCACTGCTTTTTGCATTTCATAGATCTTAGTTTTTCTGATTTCCAGTGATTCCAAACTTAGGGCCAGATTTTTCGGTATTACGGCCATTGATGACAGTATTATAGGTATTATTTCAACTTTCTTAATGCGCCACATCTTATTGATCTCATAGGCCAAGTCTGTATATTTCCGACGTTTCTCACTATGCGTGTCCTGTAATTTATGTGTTAGTGGGACCGCTATGTCTATTATATACGCCTTATCTTGATGTTTGTCTACTAGGACTATATCTGGGCGGTTGTGGGCCACAGTCTTATCAGTTCTTATTTCTTTATCCCAGTAGAGCTTGGCGCTGTTGTTTTCCATTACACTTTGTGGCTCGTATCTATAGTATGGTAATGGGTCTTTGATTAGTCCGAATCTTATTGCCAGTTCCTGATGTATGATCTTGGCTACTTGATTGTGACGGCTTAGGTACTCGGTATTTGTGAGTACTTTACACCCATTTAGTATATGTTCTATTGTTTCGGACTCCATATGACACATCCTGCACTTGTCTGTTGGTATGTTTAGCTTTTGGATATATTTCTGATGGTTACGGGTCGGAACCACTCGATCTTGTATTGCCATCATGAACCCCTCTGTCTCTCCGTGAAGACCGGCGTACTTCAGCCATTTTGTAGACATTTCTTCGTCTACGTGTGTTTGGTTGAGTTCTGCCCGGTATCTTCCGTGGAGTTCTTTTGAGGCCCATGTGTTAATCCTCTCTTTTTCATTTTGTATATCTATTTGATGTTCAATATTGCTGAGGTTTAGAGGTGTGTAGTTGTAATCGAGTGTTGATGTTATTTTGTGGAGCTCTGAGACATAGCATTTTTGTTGATGGTATTTTCTCAACAGTTCTCGCTGTTTGGCCTCAAGGCTTACAATGTTTAGTAACCCTCTACCCCCATGCTTTCTACTAACACACAGTCGTGCTACAGAACTTCTAGGGTGGTGTAGTCCAAACATTGTAAGTTGTCGCCTTATATGTCTTTCAATGGTCTCAAGTTCTGTTTTACTCCATTTTATTATTCCGAACGAGTATGTCAGTACAGGTATAGCCCAAGTGTTTATGGCTTTGAATTTGTTGTTTGAGTTTAGTTGAGATTTTAGTATTTTTATTATTCTTTGATTTAATGTTTTCTTTATTTCTTCTTTAACTTCTGTCATTTTAGATTTATGCATTTGCTTAATTCCTAAGTACTTATATATATCTCCATTTTCTAGTGCCTTTATATATCCGTTTTCAGTTTCGTATTGATTTCTTTCAGAATAGACTCCTCTTTTCAGTTTCATTATAGCACATTTATCTAATCCGAATTCCATATTTATATCATTGGAGAAAGTTTCTGTTGTTTTTAGCATTGCATTTAAATCAGATTCTTTTTCGGCGTATAGTTTTAAGTCGTCCATATATAGTAGATGTGTTAGATTATATTTTGTATCACTTGATTTTAGATTTACGCCTTTTAGCTTTTTAAGTAGTGATGACAGTGGGTTTATGGCTAAGCAGAACCACAGAGGACTGAGTGAATCTCCTTGAAATATTCCTCTATTTATTTTGATTTCTGTACTTATTTTTGTTCCATTATTTGTATTGACACACAATTTAGTATTCCATTTTTTCATCATATTTTCTAATGTGTTTATCAGTGTGTTGTCAATTTTATATAGTTTTAACACTCTTAATAACCATTTATGAGGGACTGAATCGAATGCTTTCTTATAGTCTATGTATGCCATTTCAAGATTTCTATGTTTTTGACGAGCTCTTATTGTTATGATATTGTCTATTGTTAATTGCTCTTTGCAGCCCATCGAGTGTTTTATACAGCCTTTTTGTTCTTCAGCTATTATGTTGTTGTTACTTAAATGATTATATATTTTTGTTGATATTATGGATGTTAGGATTTTATACATTGTTGTTAGGCAAGTGATGGGTCTATATTTGCTGGGATCTGATGTATTTTCTGTTTTTGGGAGTAGATATGTTATTCCGGAAGTGAGGAAGTCATCGGTTTGTCCTGTTTGTATTATTTTATTCATTGCTATTGCCATTGGTTGATGAACTGTTGTAAAGTGTTTATACCAGAAGTTTTGTATTTTGTCTTGTCCTGGGCTTTTCCAATTGTGGGATTTCTTGAGGGCTTCGGTTAAGTCATCTTTAATTATATTTACTGAAGTCATTTGTGGTATTTCTTTATTTTCATCTTCAATATCATTTATCCAATTAGATTCTTTATATTCCTTTGGGTTACTCCAGATTTCTTTCCAGTAGTTTTCTATTTCATCTATTTGTGGTGTATTGTTATTATTGCTTGAATTTATTTTATTTTGATTTCTATAGAACATTTTTTCGTTATTATAGTACATTGTATTTTGTTTTCGTCTTTCGCTTTGTATTTTATATCTTCTAATTCTTTGTGATAGTGCTTGAACTGTTTGTTTTAATGTGTCGTTGTAATTTCGGATTATGGATTCAAATTCAGGTTTTCCAGGTTTTGTCTGTAATGATCGGTATATATCTTTTAATGATTGGTTAAGTCTTTTTGATTTGTTTCCATTTAACACTTGCGTTATTCTTCCAATTATTTTTCTTTTCCCTTCTATCCGTGTCTCTATTCGCTTTTGCCATTTAGGTATTACATTTTCTTGATTTGGTTTTGTTGTATACATGTGTTCTATTTTGTAGCCTAAGAGTCTCGATACTGCTACTGCTGCACAATACGTTATTGTATTAATTGCGCTCAACGACATATTTTCTTCGATGTAATCTTTAAGTATATCATTTATCGTTATTATAGTAGATCTTGTTTTAATGCCACTTCTTATTTTTGGTAATTTAGGTCTGAATTCTATTTCAAAGTCTTTATATTGTTCTAAAGATGTTTTTAGTTCATTTTCTGCTGTTATTCTGTTTATTTCATCATTTTTATTGTTTATGTTATCTGTTGTTGTAGGTGTCTCTTCTATTTCTGGCACTACTTCTACTGTGGTATTTAATTCAGTTGTTTCATTTAATGATAGTTCATGTGCCACTTGTTGTTTGATTTCTTGTAATTCAATCGGAGATATTTTATTATTCTTTGCTAAGAATCGCCGTTGGTCTGCAATTCTTTGTTCCGTTACATTTAGTTCTGGATATTTTTGTTTGAATGCTAAGTATATTTGGTTTCTGTAATCAGTCATATTTGTTTCGAGTCGAGTTGATCTGTAGTATTCGCGCATTATCAAGGTATTCATCTCATGTGTCCATCTCATGCGCTTTTGCGATTTGTCAACCAAATTGGTCAGTTGTTGCTGAGAACCAGCTTGAACTGAAACATTTTGGAGGTTAGTCTGATTTTGTTGACTAGTCTGCGGTCGCATTACATCACAGCTTTGCCCGCATAGCACATCACTGCGTGGGATATGATGCATACTTAACGAACTGCAGTCAATGCCTACCTGCTGAACGCGGGATTTATTTGAGAGGGTACCTCCCGAACACCCCCCGTTATTCCTACGACTACGTGTAATCATATTTATATATTTTGTGGCCTTTTTACGGGGTCCCGGTCCCTAGAGAAAGCTCAACACTAACATGTGTCTATTGCCACCCATTTCTCACCACTAACATGTGTTTGTTGAAATAGGATTTTTATTTTTTGAAACAAAAGTGGCCATTGCGTGTGAGGACGAGTAACTACTCGAAGGGTGAAGGGACATCCTTGCGGACGTCCCTTCGGGGTGGGGGCACCTTTTTACAGGCACCCCCGGGTGGGAGCACCCTTGCGGGTACCCCCAGGTGGGCACCGATACCGAAGTACCGATACCCGGGTCGGGCAGAAACTCGTCCTCACTTAGCACCCCGCTTTCCCCATACTACTTAAGTTGGCCGTCCTAAACAGCGTTGGTTGGGCAGGGACGGGAAGCACAGTTAAAACAATTTTTTTTTCAGAAAAATTGCTTTACCACATCGGGGCTCGAACTATAGATCTTACTCTCCATTACACTACATAGCCCTACACACTAACCACTACACCACTGTGCCTCCTCCTATTATTATTATTATTATTATTATTATTATTATTATTATTATTATTATTATTATTATTATTATTATTATTATTATTATTATTATTATTATTATTATTATTATTATTATTATTATTATTATTATTATTATTATTATTATTATTATTATTATTATTATTATTATTATTATTATTATTATTATTATTATTATTATTATTATTATTATTATTATTATTATTATTATTATTATTATTATTATTATTATTATTATTATTATTATTATTATTATTATTATTATTATTATTATTATTATTATTATTATTATTATTATTATTATTATTATTATTATTATTATTATTATTATTATTATTATTATTATTATTATTATTATTATTATTATTATTATTATTATTATTATTATTATTATTATTATTATTATTATTATTATTATTATTATTATTATTATTATTATTATTATTATTATTATTATTATTATTATTATTATTATTATTATTATTATTATTAAATTTTATTGCAGTATTTTTACTCACTGTCGTTGACTGACTGATACAAACAACTCCCGTATATATAAACGTCATTCGATTTATTAAGTTTTTGAGTGTCCACTGTATATATACACTGTACTAATACTATTACTACTAGAAGCCGACACACACTATACAAGTGTAAACGTCAAACACAACTAAATTAATAATAAAATTAATATTTAATAATAAATAACTTAATAATTATATTATGCATTGATTGGTGTAAACAAAACACACAATTATTTTATTATTATTGGTTTTTATCCATTCATTCATTTATTATTATTATTATTATTTAACACTAATATTAATAAGACATATGATATGTGTGTTTATTAACAGTTATTAACACATAATAATAATAATCGTATGTTTTGTTTATTATTTAATTCATATATGATTTGTATTTAAATTACTATTTTTTTCATATTAATGATTTGATATCACAATTATTTAGGGATAACATTATTATTAGTAGTATTTAATTATCACTTTTTATAATTAATTCATTTAAAAATAATATTTTAAATGAATTAAATTAGTTTTTTTGTTGTTGTTATTAATAATTATTGTTTTGGTTTATATGTTGTTGTTGTGATTATCATCATCTGTGAAGACAACCACACAATCAGTGTATATTAAATCAGTCGGCAATTATTATCATATATATGATATATACTGTATGTGTGTGTCACCGGATCTGATCCCATATTATTATTATTATCAAAGTCTATAGATATTCCTCTTCAGCTAATTTTGTGTCTCTGTGTGTGTGATATATAACTCATTATAAAGACAACAATGTCGTCATCAAACAACAGCTTAAGACAATCACCGATTGAACAGATGCCGCTGATGCAGGACAACAATATCGGCGGCGGTGCCGCCAACAACAACGAGACTGTTGTTGTTGGCGACGATGATCCCGAACTGTTGGCCAAACAGTTTGCCAACGACTATCCAATTCATTGGTTGGTCTGGCATAACAATCATCGCCAATTGGATCAGCTGTTTGGCGACAAAAAGAGTTCATCATCATCGTCGTCGTCTCATAAAGTAATATATGGATATCTATATATATATTGTGTGGCCATTGATTGACAAACAAAAGTGGTCGCAACCCGATTAACCGATTTGTAAAATAACCGTTTATTTTTATTTTTAAAATAGCCAAACATTGAGACCCGTGATCCGCGCGGTCGTACGCCACTTATGTTGGCCGTAACGCTTGGCCACTACGAGTTGGCTCGACTGTTGCTCCGGCATAACGCCAACGTTAACTTTGTGGACACACTTGGCTTTAATGGTAACATAAAAAATCGTCTGTTTTTGTATTATTAAAAATATCAAACTTATCTAAATATCTATTTAGAGGAAAAAAATTATTATTTTTTTTAATGATTTATGTTTTTTTATGTATTTGTATAGATATATGTACTCTAATTAATGATAATTAGATAATTATGTGTTGATATAGATGACAAATTATTAGTATTTATTATTAGTTTTTTTGATAATAGTTTATACAATCTATTAATAATAGTTATAAATGTTAGGGTTTAATGAATCTTTTATTATCAATAATTTAAAATTAATGCATATATGTTTGCAATTTATTATATATCATAAAATGAAATCAATAATATATTTATATATTTTATAGTATTTTTATTTATATAATAACTATTTTATGGATATACAGTATATTTATGAAAGCTATATTTAGGTGTTATAATCATTTATTATTTATAAAATTACAATTGCATTGCATTTGTCTGGTTTCACACTTTTTGCATACTTTCATACAAACATACATTGTCCATAAAAGGTTAAAGGTTACGCTTGAGTGAATAATGCATAGTTAGCTAATAATATACTCTACCTGTACTACCGGGTAGTGGTAATGGTAGTAGTAGTAGTAGTAGTAGTAGTAGTAGTAGTAGTAGTAGTAGTAGTAGTAGTAGTAGTTTATATTAATATTAAATAGTTGTAATATCACAATTATTTTTTTGTAACTATATTTTCTATTATTATTTTAGTATTACATGAAGCGACCAGCAGTTGTGACCAAGAGTTCATACGGGAAGTACTCGAGCGCCGGGATTGGCAACGATATACCAGTCGTGTGGACGGCATTCCCGGGTTATTGAAGAAAATATGTGATGTAATCATAAAAACTGATTTTTGAAAAAAAATGTTTTTATATAACAATTATTATTATTATTATTTACATCTATTGATAGACACCAGACTTTTATGTCGAAATGAAATGGGAGTTCACGAGTTGGGGTATGTCTTAAGTGATATATATATTACAGTATATATATATACTGTATATATATATACTGTATATATATATACTGTATATATATATACTGTATATATATATACTGTATATATATATACTGTATATATATATACTGTATATATATATACTGTATATATATATATACTGTATATATATATACTGTATATATATGTTATTGAAATTATATTTTTTATATTATAATCTAATTTACCGGTATATCTTTTTTTTTGATGCATTAGTTCCATTAGTCACCCGTATGTGTCCCAGTGATACCTACAAGATATACAAGAGTCGGTCCAGTGTCCGAATAGATACCACATTAGTCGGTTTTGATCAGACATCGAACTGGCAGAGAGGCAACCGTAGCTATATATTTACCGGCACCGGTATGTGTGTGTTTATAGTATTTACATTATTGTTGACCTATTGTTTTTATATCTCGTGGTTATCCTGTTTTATACAATATATATAGAAAATGGCGCCACATTTATGGAAGTAGATCACGATCGCAAACAAGTAATAGTCGAAACTATGAAAATGTTGACACCAGATATGGAGGATACTATTGAAATGTTGAAACCGTCAGACGATTTGGTCAGCGCCCGGCTGAGCACACCTACAAGCACTACATATATAGATACCGATAAAATCAATTTCGAAAGGTGTGTGTATTTCCTGTTCCCTTAATTTTTCGTTGATCGGTAATCATTGAAATTGATTCTCAGGAGTAAATCGGGAATTATTGGCTTCCGGAGCGACCGAATCGAAACAATCAACGGCTACGAGACCAAAGTGTTTTGCGCGCACAACGTCGAAGTAGTGACCAAAACCCGAACCGAACACTTGTCCGCTGAGGACAAGGAACGACACAATTCGGCCACTGCTAGCCGTTTAGCGCCATTACAGTCCATATTGGGTATGATTGAAATTGAAGAGAAAGCGCCCACACCTACAGAAGTCGAGCCCAATGGTCCGCTGGCCGACGGTGCCACCAACGCTGCTGCCGTCGCCGCTACCAATCAGCGCAATCCATTCAACATAACTGCTGTCCAGTACTTTGACGCCAAATACGACCTGAAAGGCCGCGATATTGGCCGACAAAAAGAGATGACCACAAAAATACAACGATTCAAAGCCAACTTATGGCTATGCGAAGACTATCCACTATCATTGCCCGAACAGGTGCTGCCCATTGTTGACCTCATGGCCATCAGTAGCTCTCATTTTGCTAAACTACGCGATTTTATTACATTACAACTTCCGGCGGGATTTCCCGTCAAAATAGGTACGAAAAATATGAGATTTTTTTTATTAAAAAAAATAATATATATATAATAATTTGTTTATTATTTTTATTATAAAAGAGATACCATTGTTTCACGTATTGAACGCACGGATCACATTCGGCAACATATTCTCATTGGACGAATCCGTACGAGGAGTCACACCGATTAAGGACGAGACCGCCTGTGCCTGTGTTGTGGACGAGTCGTGTTTTGATGCGCCCATTGGTTATCGGAAAATAGGTACAAATTTTAATTTTTGTTAATTACGGTAATTATTATTATTATTATTTATTAATTTTGTGTTTTTATTATTATGTAAAGTATTTATTAGATTTTTTTATTTGAAAAAAATAATTAGATATTAAATTATCTTATTTTTTTTTAATCTCCCGTTCCTCTCCATTCCCTTGCCTGTACTTTACCGGTAATCTCTTTCTCTATTTCTTCAATATGTATGTCAATTGGAAAGGGATTCATCCGATGGCTAGAATCAGATCTTTTTATGACTAAATAATAAATAATAAGTGTGTAATAAAGCTATTTGTTTCAAAAAAACTAATTTTTAATTTTTTTCTCTTTTAGTTTCTAATAAATTAATATAGATTTTATTTATAATAAAAAAAATTATAAAAATTATATAATTTTATAATTAATTATCGGTTTTTTCAATCGTCTATTTTCAATTAATAGGATCAGACGAAATGAGACAAATCAATATGGATGACGACGATGTCGTCCAGTACGCCATCGAACAGTATCTCATGGAAGAGGGCACCGAAACCGATGAGGTGACACTATGGGAGGCACTCCGGGCACAGCAACCGGACATCGATCACGATCTTCAAAGGTTGGATCCAATATAAAAGTTTCACTAACTTGTTGTTAAAAATTAAATTGAAATTAATTATTATCTTCTAATATAATATTATATATATATATTCAGAGCAATCCAAGAAAGTTTAGTCGACTTCCAGAAAGGTATCAATAATAATAGCGGCGGCGGCTGTGGTGGTGGTGTGAGTGGAGATGCGCGTAGTGTTGACGACCACCCGAATCCCGCTTCACACGAATCACAACAACAACAGCAACACAAGTCATGCAACATATCGCCTAAATCAGAGTCATCATCAGATAAGACAATGAGTGGTAGCAGTGGCGGCCAAACAATGGTGGCCAACGGACAGTTACCGTCGGGCCATCGTACGCCTGCTACTGCTGTTACGACTTCAACAACTGTCAACAATAACGGCATCACAAACAATGGCCGCACAACGGATCAGGAATTAGTCAACGATCTTGAGTTAGCCATACGTTTGTCTCAACAGGAAAAAGATGCCGAAGAAAGACGAATGAAAGAGGAAGAAGAGCTCTTCCAACAAGTGCTGAAGTTATCTATTATTGATAAGTGATTTGTTGTTTAAATCAAAACAAATTTAATAATAATTATTGTTAAAAATAATAATAATAATTATTATTATTATTATTATTTGTCTTTCGGTTATTATATATATATATATATATATACGGTATATATTATATATACAGTATATTATAATATAAATTTTAATAATAATAATACAAAAAAAATGTGTTTTTATTTTTATTATCATTTTGTTGTTTTGTGAAGCGCTTGAAAAAAATGTTTTTTACATAAATAAATTTCTATATAAATAATAAATATATATATATTAATATATAAAATAATTTTATTATTTTTGTCACATTTAATTGTTTTTTTATTAATTAAAAAAAATAAATATAATTTTACTTAATTTTTAAAATAATATAGTAATATTGTAAATTGCTAATAACTTTTAATAATTATTTATTATATTGTCAATGTTTTGACATTGGGCAAATTTAATTTTTAAAAAAAATATATTATTATTGCTTAATAAAAAAAAAACAAACAATTTTTTTAACAGCAACAACAAAAAATTATCGGTAAATTACAAATTTACAAAATAAACACTAACAAAAAAAAATATATAACTAATATTTATTTTTAAAAAAATGATTTAAAATTTAAATGCAATATTTTTTTCTATTACACTAATTAATTTAGGTGTAAATATATAAACTTATATATTGATTAATAATAATAATAAAAAATAATAATAAAAATCTATTTTTAAAAAAAATTGAATAATTCAAAAAATCAATTGTCACAATCATTGTAATCACAGAAACAAATAATTTTTTTTTTCAAATAGCCCGGTACAATTTATTAATTATTATTATGAGTACAAATTGTACCGTACAATACATAAAAAAAAATTTAGTACCACTTTACAGGTACACACTATTAATAGCTATATTATTGTGTAATAACAGTGTGTTTATTAATAACTTGAATAGTAGTCAAAAAAAAATTTTTAAAAAGTTTTTTATTTAATTGCACTAAAATATCAATATATGTCATCAAAAAAAAAATAATAATAACTGTACAATTGGGCCACAATTTTTTTGAGCCTTTTAGACACTATATGGATTCTATAGTCATACTATATAGTATCTGTACTATTAAAACATACCAAATATACAGTTTAAATACAGTGTACTGTATTAGCCTTAAAAATAAAACATATGTTAGAGAGAGAGATGACATGTACTGTAAAAAAAAATAATAATTATTACAACACGTAATCCACGTATTGCTACAGTATTTTAATATACGGTTATACTGTATATAACAACAAAACAGTATATAACTGGTTATCCTATGCTATGTATGTAATAATAAAAGTCAATAGCAATACTACAGTACATAACAGTTACATAACGTTTGTATTTTTTATGTATATGTTTTGTATGTTTGAAAATCAATGGATCAGTTTTAAGTAGTAGTAGTAGTTGTTGTGGTAGTAGTGGTGATACAAACACTACCATCGATTGCATCAGTTATCTGAACGTTTGGCTATCGTTTTGTTTGTTTGGTTATCATTTTTTTTTTTGGTGTTGAAGGTATGATAAGGGGATAGACCTATAAATTTAGGTATTGTTTGACACATCTACTGATAATCGGGTTATAAATACATTTGGATATACACTTCAAAAACTCTTGAAGACTTTATAAAGTGATAGTGAAGTCAATTGTTGTGTTTTGAAGACAATATTATTATTATTACCTCTTGAGACCAGATTTTTTTAATCAAGATTTCCCAACTATCGCGGCTAACAAACAAACATAATGGGCGAAGACGTGGATCAGCTGATGACTGCATCGGCAGTTGCGGCCACGACAAACATATCTGAACTGTTTGGCAACATTAAGCCGCCGCGACTGCAACTTAACGGTTCGGCCAACGGCGCTACGGCTTCGTCATCGTCGTCGACAATGTCGCCCACAGCTAATCAATCGCCGATACACTTGCAAAAGGTATTATTATTATTGTTGGCCACCGTTGTTGCCGCCAATAGGATAGACCCGACAATTGACTAATTTATTTATTTGTTTGTTTGTTAGGACTGTCTGGTAAATCCGTCCGAAACGGTAATTGAGTCGCTGATGGCCCACTTGATTACTAAGCTGAACGAAACGGGCGAAACCATCTACTGTGTCGGCGCAGGCGGTAAATCAACCAAATAATTATTTTTTTAAAAAAAGTCATAATATATTTGTTTGTTTGGATAACTAATTGTATTGTTGTTTTGCTACCGAAATATTCGTCCATAGAGTCGGACAGCGGACTATCGGAAGACAATCTGAACGCATCGGTAGCCAACTTTGTCAAACTAAGCGACAAACTGGACTCCGATTGTATTGTTTTGCGCCGACGTAAAGCCGACACCGATTCCGGTTTGGTGGCCGACTATCTGGTTCGTCGTCGGGCCAATCGTAACGATTTTCAAGAGGTTCGGGTGGCCGTTGTCGGCAATGTCGATGCGGGAAAGTCGACACTGTTGGGTGTACTGACACACGGCGAACTTGATAATGGTCGCGGACTGGCCCGTCAGCGGCTGTTTCGGCACAAGCATGAAATGGAGTCCGGTTTGTTAAAAAAAAAATTATTATAACGACACAGTTATGTGTTTTGGTGATAGAGGAAAGTTAGGATTTATAATTTTTAAATTCATATTATTAGGCCGGACATCGAGTGTTGGCAACGATATACTCGGTTTCGACAGCAAAGGAACAGTTGTGAACAAACCCGACGCACACGGAGGTCATCTCGATTGGGTAAAGATATGCGAAGACTCGTCCAAAGTGATTACATTCATCGATTTGGCCGGACATGAACGCTACCTAAAGACTACCATTTTTGGTTAGTTAGTTAGTTAGTAATTGTTAGTTGTGGGGTATTAAAAATAAAATTTTAACTAAAATCTCACTTACTTTAATTGATTTACGGTGGAGCACAGGTATGACAGGACACGCACCCGACTATACGATGCTTATGGTGGGCGCCAATGCCGGTGTTGTCGGTATGACTAAAGAAGTAATTATCGCAAACAAACAAAAAAACGGTTTTACGGTACTAATCAATAGATTTTTTATGATAAATATTTGATCAGCACTTGGGTCTAGCCCTGGCCCTAAGCGTACCAGTATTTGTTGTGGTAACCAAAATCGATATGTGTCCCCATAATGTCCTACAAAACACAATGAAACTATTGCAACGAGTGCTCAAATCGCCCGGTTGTCGAAAGATACCGGTAATGGTCCAAAATGAAGACGATATGTTTATAGCGGCCACCAATTTTGCCAGCGAACGTCTGTGTCCAATATTTCAAGTGTCCAACGTCTGCGGTACTAACTTGGATCTGGTCAAGACGTTTCTCAATCTTCTAACACCGCGTACAACCAATCACGACAACGAAGCGGCCGAGTTTCAGATTGACGATACCTATTCGGTGCCCGTATGTGTTATCGTATACATACTTTTAGATACATACTTACCGGTACATACCTGAGCTGTATTGTGAATTGTTTTTTGTTGTTGTTCTGTGTAAAGGGCGTCGGGACAGTAGTATCGGGACTGACAATGCGCGGCGTTATACGTCTCAATGATGTACTGTACTTAGGACCCGATAGTTTAGGCCATTTCGCTCCGATTGCTATCAAATCGATTCATCGAAAGCGAATGCCTGTCAAAGAGGTCAGAAGTGGACAGACGGCTTCGTTTTCATTGAAAAAGGTTAGTTAAAGTTTGTTGAGTTGAAGAATGGTATGTATTGTATGGTATTTTATCGGTAATACTCTTATATAATCATTAACAGATGAAAAGATCTGACATCCGTAAAGGTATGGTAATGGTGTCGCCGTCGATTAATCCGCAGGCCTACTGGGAGTTCGAGGGCGAGATCCTTGTGCTTCATCACCCGACAACCATAAGTGCCAGATATCAAGCTATGGGTGCGTTTTGTTGAAGAACCGATTAAAATTTTTAATTGTTTTTTTGTTTGTATAACCGATTATTGTGCTCCTAAACAGTCCACTGCGGAAGCATTAGACAGACAGCATCGATACTATCGATGTCGCGCCAGTGTCTCCGTACAGGCGATAAGGCTACGGTTCACTTTAGGTTTATCAAAAATCCTGAATACCTGCACGTCGGCACCCGTATGGTGTTTCGCGAAGGACGTACCAAAGCTATTGGCAACATATCGAAACTGTTAACCGGAGTGCCGCCCAATGTGGTCAACAAAACCAAGACAAAGAAAATGTTTCGCCAATCGGAACGGTCGTCAATCAGTAATCAAAACAATTTCAATAGTGAGTCGTCGGATATGAATAACAGTGCGATGATAACTACAACATCTACAACAACAATAACGACAATGTCATCGACAACGGCATAGCATTTCACATATATATAAATATCTCTCTCTTTCAAAATGTAAGGGGATATCACATCCCATCCCATATATAAGATCCCATGTCTCACACATAAATGCACAAACAAACACACAAACACCTAACAGTTCACATCATGTTTTAGTTAATATAACGATAAATGTATTTTTTTAAAAAAAATACTGTATTTTAATATCCATTTAACACGAAACACAAATGTGTGGATAAAAAAACGCAAACAGTCTTATAAATTACTTATTGATTTTTTTTATTAATTAATTATTAAACAATTTGATTGATTGATTGATTTGATTGTTCGACTGAATTTTAAAAAGAAAATCATATAATAATAATAATTTCAAAAAAACAAATGTTATTTAAATTATATACATTATATATAGTGTAAATTTATATTATATAAATTTTGTTGAATCAATATATATATATATATAAATACATTGAAAAACATTGATAAGAAAAACACAAAATTATTGAATTGTTGTATTGAAATAAATGAACCTTAAAATTGAATTTTGGATTAAAATTAAAATTTTGAATTATTATTGAATAATTAATAATTTTTGTTTGAATATAAATAATATTTTATATATGTTTATATATTTTATATATATGTGTAGGTTATATACACACATTTAAACATCAAATTAAACTTCAAATAAACAAATATTTAGTCTCTTAGTAAAATTATTAAGTTTATTATATATATTTATAAATAAAAATTAATTATTTTAAAATATTTTTTTTTTTAAAAATAGCTAATTATGTTCATAGCTAGTGTAGAAACGATTTTTTTTACATATAAATAATTAATATCTAATACTAATTGTTAACGATTTTCTGGAAATGATTTCATATAATATATATTTTTAGATTAATTACATTTTTTAGAAATATCTAATTGTTTTAAAAATATATTCAATGTGATCACTTGTCCTAATGTTTATAATTAAGATAAATGTTTTTTTAAGTTAAATTTTATTTTAATTTTTTTTAATCCCATCACTAGTTATATATAAATAAATTATATTACCGTAACTAAAAAAAACCAAACCGTTTATTTCAATAGAGTTTATATTACTGGGAATTGTTGGGAAAACTTTTACTGGGAATAATACCAGTAAGTATTGTAAATATTCTCTATACAGTATATACTAAACAACATAATACAAGTACTGCATTACTATATATGCTCAAAAATTGGACACACTTAAAATTTTATATATCATACATCAATCATACAACAGTATAAATAATTTCTAAAAGTTTTGAAACAGTAGAAAATGACTGATTGCGTCACTCATAACCTGTTATTATACTGAATAAAGTAATAGTTTATTGTTTTTATTACAGTATTTAGAAATAATAATAAACTTTATGTTACTTTTATTGTGTGTTTAAATTAATAGTATTTTTCGACAACTTTTTCCTTATAAAAAATAAAATAAGTTTTAATAGTAATAATAATCAGGACATCTCTCCCGACAGTTTGGTCGCCAATGACAACTACCGCTGTCGCAGCCGCCGTTCCGTGCAATGACTGGCCACCGATTGGCCATAAAATTTGCCAAATCGGCAATACTATGGCTGGTTGTCGTTTGGATCATGTTTTTGGTGACCACTGTCTGGAAAAGTTATAAAACAAAAATTATTATTAACCGTACGCTAGTCGTCGACAATAATACTAATAATAATAGCGGGTAAGTATGTTTGTGCCGCCGATTAAAAAGCTGCCGCCGATATAGTTTTGACCACTTTTTAAAAAAAAATTTTGTGGTGCTGTATGATTGTTGACCACATATTTCTTTTATCACACACCAGATCACATCATATCATATTGTTTTGGACCAAATATTTTGGCTCCCAATTGACGGAAACCGGCCGATTGGTTAGCGATGATGGCCACAACAACTGTATGCAGCCGCGTTGGTGGTCACAGTTTGATGAAACAACCGATGATAAGGAGCTGGCGTTTGGCGTCCCAACAACAACAACAACACCGCCGCCGCTATCACAATGTATGGTCACATCCGATCGATCCTATCTGTCAGTGGCCGATGCCGTAGTGTTTCACTGGCGCGATATCAACATCGACGATATGCCGCCCGTCCGCCATGGCCACCAATTGTGGATACTGTACAATATGGAAGCACCCACCCATACAAACAATATATTTAGCTTAGACAGCGATGGTGGCGGTAGTAGTGGTGAACTGGCGTTCAATTGGACTGTAACTTATAGACAGGATTCCGATGTCTATGTTCCGTACGGCCAACTAGTAAAACGATTAAAACCGATTGCGGTATTACCTGAGGTCAACTTTATTGGCAAAACTCGTACGATAGCCTGGTTTGTTAGCAACTGCGAAACACCCGGTCATCGGGAACAGTATGTCAAACAACTGAGCAAATATATTGACGTCGATATTATCGGCAAATGCGGTCAACAACACTGTGATCCGCCGCGCAGTCGACATTGTTATGAAAGAATAGCCAAAGATTACAAGTTTTATCTGTCATTTGAAAACAGCATTTGTCGGTAGGTTGTTGTTTGTTTGCAGAGGACATGGATGTGTAAAATATAATAAATCAAACAAATCTTTTATTTTTTTAGCGATTATGTGACGGAAAAACTTTTTGCACCACTAAATCACTATATTATTCCCGTAGTGTTCGGCGGATCCGATTATCGCCAATACATGCCATACAAGTCGTACATCGACGCCAACGGCCAGTCACCTCAACAGTTGGCCCGATTGTTGCAGAGATTAGCTGGAAATCAAACTGAATACTTATCCTATTTTGATTGGAAACAGTATTTTACTGTCATCGGTGGTGATGATGATGATGATGATGATGATGACAATGATGGTTGGACTACTATTAATGTCCGAGCCATGTGTCGCTTATGTCGATCAATGAATAGCCGAACACTACTACCACTGGCCAGTCATGGTATTAATAGTGGTCGTTTAGTACTTACTAAAAAATTTTATACTTCAGCTCAACTAAGGCACTGGTGGTTCAGTGAATCCCAGTGCAAAGCCTGGACGGGTGCCACAAATAATACTAACAATTATTTTGATATTCAGTTTCCTAATTAATAATTATGTATTATATATTTGTACTCAAATTTATCAATTAACAATACTCCTAATACCGGTATTATTATTATTGTTTTATTTTTATTTACCGGTAATGTATATAAAAATTTGTTTTTCATTGTATATTTTATATCATAAAGTATTGTATTATAAATAATTTTTTTACACTTATCATAGTATATTTCATTGTATAAAATGCTATAAAAAATTCAATTTAATTTGCATTTAATTTCATTACCAAATGTAAAAAACAAATGTTAATTTGTATTAAATTTTTTCTTAAATTATCATTGATATGATAAATCAAAATATGATTAAAATTTAATAGTCAAACAAATTTTAAGGATATTGTAATTAATATTATTTTATATAATTAACTAAATTTCTACATTATTTTCTATAGATATTGAACGATATCAATAAAAAATTAATAGTAATTGAGTTTTAAAAATACAAATAGTTATCTATTTATTAATATTTATTAACTTTTCTTTTGAAAAAAAGATATAAACAAAATCTGATTAAAATGAATGTTGAATTTGTGTGTTAAATACAGTACTACTATATTAATGCCAATCGATTGTACAGTTTATATATACAGTAGAGATAAAGTAGAGTTACTTTTGGTAGCCTTGATATTGTGATCCTTGAAAATTGGTAGACTGTCTGGGCTGACCACCCGGTTGTACAGATACTACTGAATCTTTGCTATTGGTTCTCTTGAGGGTTGTATTGGTGGTAGTGTTTGGCTTCTGTACTTGATTTGTATTAATCAGATTTGGTTCAAATTTGACAATAAGAAACGTCATGTTGTCTTTACCAGCGATTCCATGGGTAGGCATAGCTGTTGTCGGCAATATCTGTTTGAATACTTCTTCGCATATTTTGGACAATCGTTTGATTCTTGGTATTCGTTTGTTGACATATAGAATAAGTTCTTCATTGGCGACGCTATTCCAGATGCCATCGCATATAAGTACCATTAGATTGTCGTTTGATGTCAACTGTTCTGTCTTTATGTCGGGCAAAGCAATGATCATCTGTTCCTTCTTTGGCAGTTCAGTGTTACGTTTGTAGTGATGGTCACCAAAAGCGCGCGAAACGTTTACACCGCCATTAATGCGACCGCAAATGATTTGTCCGCCGGCGTTCTCAATGCGATTTTTTTCGTCAGTATTTTCCGGTTTGTGGTCACTGGACAATGGATATGCTCTGCCATTCCGTGAGAGTATACACCGAGAATCTCCTAAATTGGCCGCATATGCGATGCCATCTTTTATAAGTACAACAATAGCCGTACAACCACTGGCCACTGCCGGTGCATTTTTTCGGTCGATCGGCACCTGTGTGTACTGTTTTCTCATTCTAATCAATTGACTGATAGTTTCGTCTTTAAGAAGTTGGTCATCAAATTGCATGAATGAATCCTGAAGTGCCGTTTCGTATTTGCCTTCTTTGTAGTTCTTATTCTTTAATATCATATTCGGTAAGAGTTTAGACGCCAATTGTGCCACTTCTGCGCCATTATGTCCGTCGAAAACAGCCCACAGACTGGCGTTTTTGTCAAACTTTGGCAAACATATGTGTGCGTCTTCTTGAGTGGATCGCCAGCCCTGTACTGATGAGGCACCGTATGATATGTTGGGTCCCTTTCCATCTTCAGATTCAGGCCTTGATATGCATTGTTTGAGATATGTTTCGCCCATTTTTTTTGTTTGACCACTAATTTATGATTTAAATGATAATCTCTTAATAAAATGTTTTTCAGTTATTAGTTGGTCTTTAATAACGATTATCTCTTTTGGCTATAATTTTGACTATAATTTTGAATTATTTGTTAGAATACTGACTATTAATTGTTGTCACGATTTTAAAACAAAGTTTTGAGATTAAAATTACGCGAATTATAATTAAAATTTATTTTAATTTTCACGAGAATTTCAAATTTAAATTCTTAACGGATTTAATCAAATCTATGATAATTAACGAGTTTTTCATAAGAAATTAACGGTAAAACCTCTTGAGTTATCACTTCAATGATAATTTGAGACAAAATTTAATACAAAATATTTTGTTTTAACATTTGGTAATGAAATTGAATGCAAATTGAATTGAATTTTTATAGCATTTTATTTGAAATATAAATAATAGAAAAATAAGAATTTTGACAAAAATCTATTTCATTGACTCTTCAATTGAAATCTGAGACACACTTCGTCTTCTTCTCTCATCATTCACTGTCTTCGCTGTGCTTTCGGCTTCTTCTTCGTCTGCGACGGTGACCACCCTTTCGGCCACCAGATCGCGATCGGCCTCTTCTGGATCGGGAACGCCTTCTGCGTCTTCCGCCACCCGAATGCCTTCTGCGACGTCTGGTCTCGACTACCTCTCCTCCTGAACCTCCAGACGGAAGTGTCTTCTTCTCTTCAGATTCGACATCGATAGCAATGGTTTTCATTTTTTTCAGTTGATTTGGAATTTTGTTAATAAGAAAAATAAAATAAAAATGATTTTCAATTCAACCGAAACTTAGTTTTTTTTATACAAACACAACAATAGTATCGATGTCTCGCACTATCTCTTCTCTCTTTCTTTCGAAAATACATTTATTGTATTAATAAATAATAATAATTGTATTGTTTTTAGTAATCAATTTGAATAACTCGTACCAAACAAACACTTTTGGCTTAAATCTATATTATAGACAGCCAGAAAAAAATGTACTGTTTTTTAGTTAGTTATACAGATATAAAATGTTAGTTTTATTATTAATATTTGTTTAGTTAGGTTAGTTTGGGATGGGTGTGAGGTTAGGAAGTGGTTGGATTTGTGGGGGTGAGTTTGGGGCAAATAATTTTCTAATGGCTGTCTATAATATAGATTTGTTCAACACTTTTATTCATCAATTGATTGATATGTTGTGTATCTTTGTGTGTGTTTGATATCAGATCCAGTGATACCAGTGATGTCTAAGCAGTCAAATGGCAACACTCCCTGTAATGAGTTTGGCTCAAAGTTTGACTACAAAGTGTTTAACACTTTAAGTTTGAGTGCAATGTCTGTCAGATGAAAAACCCGCCGAAGAAAAGCCAAAGATTTGCCATCAAATATGTTGACATTGTTTTGCGTAAGAAATTACAGGTCACAGACGTCATGAACGCCGTCGACAGAGACATAAATGCATTGATGGCTATTCATCACAAAGGAGTGGTCAAACTGTTCTTTGCCATTGCAATGGACAATAAGAATCTGTGGCTTCTTTTTATGCAACTCTCCGACGGAAATCTTCAGTCGTTTATGAAAAGAAAAACTAAAGCAAATGATCGACGAAATAGTAACCAAACAGTGGGTTCAAAAGTCTTTCAGAAACACTGGACTACTTGCAGAGGAAGCGCATCAGTCACGGACACATCAAAGCATCTAATATCTTGATATTTGGCAAACAAGACGACAAAATTGTACTCAAACTCAAACAGACTTTGTGTTCGCAAAAATCGAAAGACTGGACGAACTCAGCGAAGAACTCAAACAAATACTAAACGATCGGTTGGACGACGACATCATCGATATGTCGTTTCTGTTCAATGACTTGCTCTCTATCACCCAATTTGCCAAACAAGACACTCAACGATTGGCCAATGAAACGGTACACCAAATGATGGTCGCATCGGATGCACCACAAGAAGTGTTGAAAAAAATTTGTTCATTTCATCTGATTATCTCAAATAAAATTCAATAAACAAAACAAACTTTTCTTTTACTAATTGTTTGTTAACCAAAAAAAAGTAAATAAATAACACTTTTTAGTGATAAAATTATTAGTTTAACGATAAATATAAAATTGTAATTTTTTAAATAAATTAATTACTAAATAAATAAATGATTGACTAAAACTTTATCGATTTATCGATTGATTATTGCATTATTTAGATAAAATACAACTAAGCTTTATATTTATAGTATTTTTTTTAATATACTATATTATTGTAGTTGTAAATAAAGTTTTAACTGTTGTGAAAAGTATTACTTAGAAAAAAAACGCTTAAACTTTATAGTAATCTTTTATGAAATATATGATTAAATAAAAAATAACAAAAAAATAAAAAATAAAATTAATGCAGTTTCTGAGTCACAGATATCTCTATTAATAAATTAAATTTTATTGTATAGTAATTAATTATATAAAATTAAACTAAAAAATATATTTAATATAAATTCATAAATAAAATAATTTTACATTTTATTTAAATACAGTATAAATTTTTTTATCACATAATATTAGAAAATTTTTCATTTAATAATCAGATTTCTTGGCATTAATTCATTGTACAGTCCAGTGATGGTCTCCATGAATAGGTATTTCTCTTGATTGCCGATGAATTCAATGGTTACCGACTGTTTGGTTGACATTTGACGACAAATAGTCACCAGATTTATGGCCAACAACTTCATGTCACTCAACAGTATGTAATTGACTCGCAATTTGGTCAACGATTTCATTTCAATCAAGTGTTTTGTCAAATAGTGAACACAAGTAAAACTGCTTAACAAATGCAACACTTTTAGTGACCCGAGTTTGGCCAGACTTGCGAAACATTTTTGGTCACAATTTGGGCAAAAATATGATTGACTTGACTGTGGATCGCATTCACACTGTATGTATAGGCCATTGATTTCCAACTTTTCCAATGATTGCAATGTCTGTCGGAAAATATCAAATGATTTGACATCAAAATGACATGAATTCAGCCGAAGATGTTTGACATTCAATGGATAGCGTTTGGGATCTAATTGAAGACCATTGTCGGCGATCAGTCGCGTCACTGATAAATAGTCAAGACTTTGACGATTACAACTCAATTGTTTTACTATTTGTGTCAAAGATAGCGAATGACAACTAATGGACAACTCTTGAAGTTGCAGAAGACGACAGATTTGAGAAAACATTTGATCAGATATATGATAGTCAACGATATGAAGACATCGGATCTTTAATTTTCTGTCAGTTATCAGTGATAACAATGTTTGGACATCTCTGTCATCCAAAGAGTCACTGAACCAGAACGGAGAACAATCGATCTCAAGACTGATCAACGAATCAGAGACCGACGCCAAAGCCGTATGCAATGGCTTAAAGTGAATGACTCGCAGTCTCTGTAATACTTTGAAGTGTTGTATCAGTTGAGCGACGTTTTGGTGGATATCTTCCTCTTGAAAGTAGCACTCAATCGACAGATGACGTATGCGATCACCGAAGAGGCGGCCAATTGTTTGCAAGTCATTCAAATAATAGGTCAAGAAGTTGCTGCCCAAACACAGACACTCCAGTTTGACCAATGAGTTGACCATTAACTCAATTGCTGTCAAATTCAGTTCTTGGTTGAGATAAAGACACCGAATGTTTGGACACTTGTCTATCACTGTCTTCATGTCTCCCAAACTCAAAATAGTCTTTTTAGTGATGACTGACTTCAAGTCTCTGTATTCAATCGACTCGTGTATCTGATGTTGTGGTCGACGACATAGTTTCGGTTCGTTTGTTTTGCCAAATCTCAGACACTGGCGCTGCCGAAGAACCGAACGAATACATTGATGAAACTGTTTGGATGTTATCTCCAATTGAAACAATTGACGACAATTGATATAATGAAGTATCAGTTCCAACACATCGTTACATAAAATCCAAGAGTTTTTGTCCATTAGTTTTTATATGTGATAATTGTTTTGCAAATAATAAAAACCGTTTATATAATAATAACTGATTAATATTTGTAGTAATTATTAGTAAAAAAAAATATTTGAATTACAAATTTCTAAACTAATCATAAAAATTAAAATATAAAAACAATTGTTTCAATCACGAGATGTTTAACATATTTTTTTGAAATATTGATTAATTTATTAAAATAGTAAAAATCAAGTCATCGTTTGTTTGTTGATTTTGTTTTGCTTTTTCTGATTATCACTAAAATTGTTATAAATTTAGCCAAAAATGTCCAAAAGATCTGAAATCGTTGACAAACATTGTAAAGATCTGAACAAAATCTCGAAACAATGGGAAGACTCGTTCCCGAAGGCAAAGAAAGGATTAATCGATGAGAAAGGCTTTGCAAAAAAGCGCAAAGAATTAACAGAAAAACTAAACAAATTTCGTAAAGAAGAAGAGGAAGCCATCAATGAATTCAAAAAAGTTGATAATCTCTATAACGAAGAGTTTATCAGAAATGAACGTCAATTGGCAGAACTGGATGGACAGCAAAACACACTATCATTTCAGGCACAGGCGTCCAATAGTTTGCAATTTGAAAGACGATCGCAACAAATGAATCAGATATTCCACGACTTCCAGAATGAGATCCGACAAGTGGTCGACAAACATAAATCTCAAGTCAACCGATTGGATCAAACACAAGCTACCAGACTATTGGCCGACAGACAGTCCAATCAGTCATCGCAAGCCGTCGGCGTACCATTGAGTGCACAAATACAACAACTGATCCAACAGTCAAATCTCAGCCGAAATGAAATAATTCATAAATTAGGTAATACTCAGCAAAAGATTGATCAACAGATGAACCAATTGAAGGAATTGGAAAAAGCATTGAATGAAAAGATATTGAAGATTAACTTGAATTCACAGAAAAGCGAAAGAGAGGACAGAAGTAATGAAATGAATAATTACTTCAAGAAAGTCAATGATGTCTACAGAAAAAAATAATTTAAGTTTCTTATGATTTTATGATTTATATAACTATATTGTCTCTAAATTGTATATAAAATTTATATTATTTAGTAGTTATTTAATGACATTAATTATTATTAATTTTTATTTAGCTGTTTGTATTTAAACTATAATATTAATTAATTTTATTATTTATTTATTTGTATCTAAATTCTTATTAAAAATATTAAAATACATTTAAATAAAATTTTTAATGACTTATCAATGATATTGAAAATCATATATTATTATTTTCTATTTTTTTTAAGTAAATAATTTCTTATGAAAAAACCGTTAATTATCAAAGATTTGATTAAATCTGTTATGAATTTAAATTTGAAATTCTCGTGAAAATTAAAATAAATTTTAATTATAATTCGCGTAATTTTAATCTCAAAACTTTGTTTTAAAATCGTGACAACAATTAATAGTCAGTATTCTAACAAATAATTCAAATTTATAGTCAAAATTATAGCCAAAAGAGATAATCGTTATTAAAGACCAACTAATAACTGAAAAATATTTTATTAAGAGATTATCATTTAAATCATAAATTAGTTGTCAAACAAAAGAAATGGGCGAAACATATCTCAAGCAATGCATATCAAGGCCTGAATCTGAAGATGGAAAGGGACCCAACATATCATACGGTGCCTCATCAGTACAGGGCTGGCGATCCACTCAAGAGGACGCACACATATGTTTGCCAAAGTTTGACAAAAACGCCAGTCTGTGGGCTGTTTTCGACGGACATAATGGCGCAGAAGTGGCACAATTGGCGTCAAAACTCTTACCGAATATGATATTAAAGAATAAGAACTACAAAGAAGGCAAATACGAAACGGCACTTCAGGACTCATTCATGCAATTTGATGACCAACTTCTTAAAGACGAAACTATCAGTCAATTGATTAGAATGAGAAAACAGTACACACAGGTGCCCATCGACCGAAAAAATGCACCGGCAGTGGCCAGTGGTTGTACGGCTATTGTTGTACTTATAAAAGATGGCATCGCATATGCGGCCAATTTAGGAGATTCTCGGTGTATACTCTCACGGAATGGCAGAGCATATCCATTGTCCAGTGACCACAAACCGGAAAATACTGACGAAAAAAATCGCATTGAGAACGCCGGCGGACAAATCATTTGCGGTCGCATTAATGGCGGTGTAAACGTTTCGCGCGCTTTTGGTGACCATCACTACAAACGTAACACTGAACTGCCAAAGAAGGAACAGATGATCATTGCTTTGCCCGACATAAAGACAGAACAGTTGACATCAAACGACAATCTAATGGTACTTATATGCGATGGCATCTGGAATAGCGTCGCCAATGAAGAACTTATTCTATATGTCAACAAACGAATACCAAGAATCAAACGATTGTCCAAAATATGCGAAGAAGTATTCAAACAGATATTGCCGACAACAGCTATGCCTACCCATGGAATCGCTGGTAAAGACAACATGACTTTTCTGATCGTCAAATTTGAACCAAATCTGATTAATACAAATCAAGTACAGAAACCAAACACTACCACCAATACGGCCCTCAAGAGAACCAATAGCAAAGATTCAGTAGTATCTGTACAACCGGGTGGTCAGCCCAGACAGTCTACCAATTTTCAAGGATCACAATATCAAGGCTACCAAAAGTAACTCTACTTTATCTCTACTGTATATATAAACTGTACAATCGATTGGCATTAATATAGTAGTACTGTATTTAACACACAAATTCAACATTCATTTTAATCAGATTTTGTTTATATCTTTTTTTTAAAAAGAAAAGTTAATAAATATTAATAAATAGATAACTATTTGTATTTGTTTTTTTAAAACTCAATTAGTATTAATTTCTTATTGATATCGTTCAATATCTATAGAAAATAATGTAGAAATTTAGTTAATTATATAAAATAATATTAATTACAATATCCTTAAAATTTGTTTGACTATTAAATTTTAATCACATTTAATAGTTGTTATTATATTAACAAACTTATAGTTTAAGTAATACTTTTTATTTACAAAATACTAGATTAACTCTAGTATACCCTTAATTAACCCATGTCTGGCCGTCATACTTGCCGCCGATATAGATATAGACACGCAAAACAGTGCAACAGTGCAAGCGTCGGGTCGGGCAGGGTTTCGGATAACATCATTACATACGGGACATTCATTGGCCTGTTGTTGGCCATTAGACCCGACATTATTGTTGTTGGGCTTAAATGTATATTATAGACAGTCAGTAAAAAAAGTTATACATATATAAAATGTTAGTTTTATTACTTAATTATTATTTAGTTACGGTTAGTTTGGGGTGAGTGTGAGGTTAGGAAGTGGTTGGGTGGGTGGGGATGGGTTTGGGGTAAATAATTTTCTACTGGCTGTCTATAATCTACATTTGTTCCAATTTGATTGGTTGCCAACAATTGTTAAAACTAACAATTAAAAAAATTAATAAAATTAATAAAATAACATAAAAAATAGTTTGTAGTCAACTGTTTGATTGACTGATAGGGCAATTGTTTTACAATACATAGACAGACAGACAGACAGTTAATATGAGTGATAGTAGAAAAAGTAATAGTAGTAGACGTTATCATCCATACGATACCACCAAATCGGGTCGTCGTTCATTGAGAGACAGTAGTTCTGGAGCTGACACAAGTCGATCATCATTAGAGCAACAACAACAACAAAAGCAACAGTTATGGCGACCATCAGATTCTTGGAGACAACCAATGGCTATACCAACATATGAAGAAACTACAGCCACAAACACATCACAACCGCCGCCGCCATTGACGGCGACATATACACCACTGGCAGACAATGATCCGTATCCAATGGTAGCGCCAGAAATAGGAGAACTATCGCCGCTGCCATCACTATCACCAACACATCTAATCCAATCACAATCACCACCGAGACATCTGTCAACAGTAATACCACAACAAGTATTGCCAATACAACCATTACCAGCATCATCATCACCATCACCTCCAACACCGACATCATCATCATCATCACCAGAATGTACAAATAGGACACTGGAACCGGCATCAACACCACCACCGGGACTAGTAGTCCAGTCAACTGGTCAGTTGCCATCGTACACATCCGTATCGCAACGGTATCCCAATTGGGAAGAAATAGGCGATCAATATCTAAGACCGATACCACAAAATCAGCCGCTGTCCGCTGAAGAAATGCAATTTGCCGAATCTAAAGGCATAAGATTTGATGGCTTTCTGGGCAGAGGTAGATACGGAACTGTATACAAGTGTGAGATAACTAAGACATTGCCCGGTAGGTCAAGACATCCAAGCGGACAGTTGGCCGTAAAAATCTTATCCATAGTTGACAGTTGACCAGTCAGTCAGGTGACCGACCGAAGCAAATTTGTAACGTTTCAGAGTAACACCAGATACAGCATCGATACCTACGAGTTTTGCCAAATGATCAACAGTATGGTGGCTCTAAATCCGGCCGATAGGCCTACTTGTGATCAGTTAATCAATTGTAATTGGTTTCGACAGCCATCACATACACCCGTATCACCTAAATCATCATTATCATCAACACCGCCATATAAAACACTGGTATCCCCATCAACACCACCTGGACAAACAATTCAATCACTGGATGCGACCACCGTCACCGGGCAACCGCCATCCCCGTACGCTTTTGTACGACAACGGTATCCCAATTGGAAAACAGTAGGCAAACAATATCTAAGACCGATACCCAAAGACCAGCCGTTGTTATTCACAGAAAAAAAATTTGCCGAACTTAAAGGTATAAAATTTGGCAAACTTTTGGGCTCAGGTGGCTATGGACAGGTATACGAATGTGAGATAACTAAACCATTATCTTGTAATAGATCCGTATATCCCACTGGACAGTTGGCCGTAAAAATTGTATCGCTAAAAGATTTTGACGATAAAATACGGACACCGTATGAGGCGCTGAAAAAAATGATAGCCGAATATCGATTGCACTGTAAGCTCGAACACGACAACATTGTCTCATCAATCGATATGTTCGGTATCCACGATCCGGACACACAGTTTCCATGTATACGACACCTGCACTTTATGGAGCTATGCAATGGAAATCTAGTGGATCTGTTGAATTTGTTTATAACAATGAGCGAACTATACGCCAGAATCTGGTTTCGACACATATGTCAAGGGCTCCGGTATCTACACTCATGGCGTATCTGTCATCTGGATATCAAGTGTCTGAACATTCTCTATAAAGGTTTTTATATGAATTCTGTATTCAAATTGGCTGACTATGGTCTGGCCGGTTATATAAGTGAAATTTGTGGTACGTTTGGAACCGATGGCTATATGGCACCGGAACTCAACAACAAGACAAAAGTGAATACCTTTCCGTGCGATATCTGGTCGCTGGGTGTGACACTGTGCGAGACATTGGGTGGCGTTCACAACGACGTTTTGGTCAGAGATGCGCTCAGTAAGCTGACCGACCAGAGCCAGTTCGCTGCGTTCAAAGGTAATACCAGCTATAAGATCGATACCTACGAGTTTTGCCAAATGATCAACAGTATGGTTGCTCTAAATCCGGCCGATCGACCTACTTGTGACCAATTGATTGATTGCAATTGGTTTCGGCAGCCATGAACCAGGTGCTGGATAAGGTAATTGTGTGTTTACTGTATATGTGTGTGTTGTACTGTATGCTTGACTAAAACCAACCAAATATCTAATAAATTTCTATTGTTTATCATTTTAACAAAAAACAATTAGCAATAATTGTTTTTTTTTAAAAAACTAAAAAATAAAAATCAAACAAAAATATTTAATTAATTTTAGAAAAGAGTAGAAAATATTAGAAATATTATCACCAATTGATAGAACAGTTAAACACAACAACAACAAAGCAAACAATGAAATCAATTAATTATGAGTTATAGTAGTAGTAGAAGAAGTAGACGTTACAGACCATACAATCCAATCAAATCGGGTCGTCATTCACAGAGAAACAGTAGTTCAACTACAGCTGTCTCTATTCAATCGGATCCGATTAGTCAATCACAACCATTAGGACAACAGCAACAGCTATGGCGGCCGCCAGCGTCTTGGAGACAACCTATGCTTACAATAGATGAACTACCACTACCACCACCTCTAACACTACCACCACCACCCCTAACACTACCACAATCACCCCTAAAACTATCACCACCACCCCTAACATTACCACCACCACCCCTAACACCACCACCCCTAACACCACCATCACAACCCTTACACTCATCATCATCATCATATAGTCGATCATTGGAATTGGCAACAACACCACCGGGACAACCAATTGAGCCCAGGCAATCGCCGTCTCCATACGCATACATACATGACCGGTATACCAGTTGGCAAGAGGTAGGCAAAAGATATCAAACACCGATGCCCGTAGACTAGCCACTACCGCCCGACGAGTTAGAATATGCCAAATCTAAGGGCATAAATTTTGGCCGCCTATTGGGCGCAGGTGACTATGGAGCGGTATACGAATGTACGATAATTAATACATTACCCGATGGGTCGACATCTTCCAGTGAATTGTTGGCCGTAAAGATACTATCGATAGATGATTTCGATATAAAAAGTCGGACGCCGTACGAAGCGATCAAAAAGATGACCGCCGAGTATCGACTACACTGTCAGCTCAGACACGACAACATTGTGGCCTCAATCGACATGTTTAGGAACCACGATCCGGACACACAGTTTCCATGTATACGACACCTGCACTTTATGGAGCTGTGCAATGGAAATCTGAATCAATTGTTACAGCAATATATAATGATGGGTGAAACGGATGCCAAACAATGGTTTCGACAGATTTGTTACGGTCTTCAGTATCTACACTACTGGGGTATCTGTCATTTGGATATCAAATGTCTGAACATTCTGTATAAAGGTCAGTATCCGGATCAGGCTCTATTCAAATTGGCTGACTATGGTATGGCTGGTTATAGATACGAAATTGTTGGTGAGTTTGGTACCGATGCCTATAGGGCACCGGAACTTAACAACAAGCGTAAGGTTAGTACATATCCGTGCGATATCTGGTCACTGGGCGTTACACTGTGCGAGACACTGGGCGGCGTCAATAGCCAAACAATGGTCAGACAGTCGCTTATTCCGGTGACTGACCGGATCCAGTTTGAGGCGTAAAAGAATAGCATCATATGGATGATCGATAGCTATGAGTTTTGTGAAATGTCCCTCAGTATGGTGGCTCTAAATCCGGCCGATAGACCTACTTGTGACCAACTGATCAATTGTAATTGGTTTGGACAGCCATGAGGTAGGTTCTGGTAAAGTAAGGTAAGTGTTTGTGTGTGTGTATGGATGAGGGATGCTATGATGTATATATGATTGTTTACAATCAGCCATCAATGACTATAATTAGCGCATATATAATATAACATATAAATTATTTAACAATGAAAATATAAATTATTAATAAAAAACAAATAATTTTATTTTTAATTGAAAATCAATTGAAAATTTATTAGCATTAGATAATTGTCTAATACATTGTTTGGTATATTATTTTTACATTTTTTTTGTTTTTAAAATATTTCTATAATTAGAATTATTTGCAACAATTATTATTATTATTATTTAAAAAATTAAATTAAAAATTAATTTTTAAAAAATAAATAAAATTATCACCAATTGTTAGAACAGATATCATCAAAAAAAGACTGTTCAGACAAACAGGACAGACAGACAACCGATAGATATGAGTGATGATAGCAGTGATAGTAGAAGTAGAAGAAGAAAAAGGCGAAGAAGAAACAGCGGACCAGCTGCTGCTGCCGGTGCACCCAGTAGTCATGGCTCAGGTAGTCAGTCACCACCAACAGGCCAGAGACAGTTTGTTGATCCGATGGAAGAGTTGTTGAGATTCTATGATGAACAGCAAGAACAACAGGAACAAGCAGGAGAAGCACAGTTACCACAATGGCAACCACCAGTTCGGGTACCCGCGACCGCGACATATACTCGAACGGCTGAGGAAGATCCGCAACCAATTGTATCGTCGGGCGAACAGACACCGCCATACCTGCCATTCGAACAACAGTATTCGTGGGAATTCATGGAACCAACACCAGTACCACTATCGCCCGGTGCGACGGCGACGACGACAGCAGCGTTTCTGGAACGACTACGAGCCAGACAGCCGTCGACAAGCATACCGTCACCGACACCAATGCCATCGCCGGGAACATCTATGGAAACACATCTACGACGACTGGGTAGATGGCCGGCAAACTCACCCACACCATCATCATCGGCTGCCGGCAGTGACCCCGATAGGTCTTCTATTGATTTTCTGGCAAACCTTAGCATACCATCACCGACACCATTACCGGCCAGTTCGCCATCGTCGTCGTCAAAACAGGCTTATGATTCATACAGATCACCAGTACAACCATCGCCATCGCCATCACCGTCACCGTCAACATCGGGAACAATTATACATCAAATATCATTGGACTCTTCGAATGCAACAATTATCGCACCACAACAAACAGCAACGGGTGGCGGATCGACAATAGACCTGATATCTAGTTCATCATCGGGATCCGATTCAGGACTGTTGGGTTTGGCCAGGGCATTTCGTGAAGAACATAGAGAAAAACAGGAACAACTGGATGAATATGGACAGCCGCCATTATCACCATACGCTCAGATAGCCTACAATTATCCCGATTGGTCGAATGTGGGTAAAGAGTATCAAACAAAGATACCGAAATTAGAACCGTTGCCATTGGATGAACGAAAATATGTCGAATCCAAGGGCATAGAATTTAAGCAACGTTTGGGCAAAGGTGGCTACGGATCGGTATATCAATGTAAACTAAATGGTCCGCTACCCGGCCGACTCAAATTTCCCCGTGAAATGATGGCCGTCAAGATTTTGTCGTTAAGCCGGTACATTGGTCAGGGCCTGAACACACGTACGCCGTACGAAGCGGTGAAAAAGATGACCGAAGAGTATCGATTGCAACGCGATTTGTTTCATACAAACATCGTTACCACTGTCGACATGCTTGAGATCAGGGATACGAGTACACAGTTTCCATGTATACGGCACTTGCATTTTATGGAACTGTGTAATGGAAATCTAAGGGAACTATTGAAACAATTCGTAACAATGGCCGAAACAGATGCCAAACAATGGTTTCGTCATATATGTTATGGACTCAGATATCTGCACGGTCGCGGTATACGCCATATGGACATCAAATGCATGAACATACTATACAAAGGTCAGTATCCGGGTCCGGCTATTTTCAAATTGGCCGACTATGGTATGGCCAGCGAAAAAGAAGAGCTTGGTGGTCAATACGGTACCAGACGCTATATGGCACCGGAAATCAACGATCAGATCACTTACCAGACCATGCCGTGCGATATCTGGTCGTTGGGTATGTCATTGTGCGAGACATTGGGCGGCGTTGATCAACAAACAGCATTTAGAAGACAGCTTATGTATGTAAACAATACGGGTAGGTTTGCCATATTTAAGTCGAGTACAAATTACAAGATTAATACCTATGAGTTTTGTCGTATGATTCTGACTATGGTTGAACATAATCCGACAGTCAGGGCTACTATTGAACAGATTATCAATTGTGATTGGTTTACAATGTAATATCATTGGGTCAGTCCGTATCGGTCGATTCAATAAGGGTATTGGGTAAGTGAGGGTTAGGTGGGTATGTGTGATGTGTGTGCCTAGAGTTTTAAAAAAATTGTTATTATGTTATGTTAATAAAAAAAAAACTTATAGTGAAATCAATGGTTAAGGTAAATATATAATTTAATTAAAAATATTTTTTAGATAAAACTATTTAAGTTATATTACAATAGACATTAAGGGTTAATGAAAGGGGGAGGGGAGTGGAGAGGGGTAGTGGCGCTGTTAGTTTATTTTAGAGGATAAGTAAGGGCTGTTAAGTAAGTCATTATGTAATGTCAATATTAACTAGTTTTAACAACTATTTAAAATTTTAAAAACTTTTTTAAAAAATCTTAATGCCTATTTATTTGCTAAAAACAATGAACTATGAAATAATGATATTACCGTAATTTTAAAAATCTAAAAGCAATTAAAAAAAATTATAACTAAATTTAATTACAAAAATTTTAATCAAAATTTTTTTTAAAAACTTACCACCAATTGACAGATTAGGACAATTGAATGACAGATCTCACTGGCGGACAAACCAACATCATCGACAACAATGATATGAGTGGTAATATAGACAATATTGTTTGTGTTTTGAATAAATATTTTTTTAAAAATTAATTGTATGACTGGCTATATAATACACAGTTGATTGTTAAAAAAATAATTTGTATTTACACTTTGTGTTTGTTTTCTAAAAAAAAAATGATTTTACTTTTTTCCGCGTTTATTACCATTTTGTTGGTCATCTTCATGTGGTCTACGAACACTACCGGTTCCCGTACCAGTCCTACCACTGTAAGGATCGTATCCACCGGAACCAGCACTATCAGTGCTACTGCAATCTTCATCAGCGGTGTCAGTGCTATAATCTGAACGTTCGGCATCGGACAACACATCGGCCACAAAATTGGACGACACATTTGACAGCAAATCGATGGGCACATCGTCCATAAAATCGGACGGCAGATCGGCTGGCGACGGTAGATTGAGCGGCACATTGGCCGGGAGATAGGCCGGGAGATCGTACGGTATATCTTCCGGTATATATTCCAATATATCTTCCGGTATATTTTGCGGTATATTTTGCGGTATATTTTGCGGTATATTTTGCGGTATATCTTGCAGTATATCTTGTTGTATATCTTGTGGTATATCTTGCGGTATATCTTGCAGTATATCTTGTGGTATATCTTGTGGTATATCTTGTGGTATATCTTGCAGTATATCTTGTGGTATATCTTGTGGTATATCTTGTGGTATATCTTGTGGTATATCTTGTGGTATATCTTGTGGTATATCTTGTGGTATATCTTGTGGTATATCTTGTGGTATATCTTGTGGTATATCTTGTAGTATATCTTGTGGTATATCTTGTGGTATATCTTCAGGTATATCTTCCGGTATATTTAACGGCTTCTCGGACTTTTCAGAATCCAAATCGGTTGAATTTATATCCAATTTAGGCCATATCCTGGAATGGACAATGGGATTGGTATAATATGGTTGGTCCGGAATCATTACACTGTGTCGATAAAATTTTTCTAACTTTTCGAGTACCAGATAATTATCATACAATTGTTGTCTGACATTATCCAACCAATTGGCTTTTCCAATCAATTGCAACTCAAATATTGCAATCTCGTCGGCCATTCCTCTGGCAAAGCGTTGCATTTCCAATAGCAGTGACACATAATTTTTCAGATCGTCAAACCAGTTGCGATAGACTTCCATGACGTCTTCCACTTCGAACAATTGGCGCAATTCGGCGGCCATCGCACGGGTAACAAAAAACACCCGTTCGGAGCCGTCGTCCACCTCAGCGAACCGCATAGGCATTGTTTGCCATCCGTTTATTCCAATAATCGGATGATTGCCGTGAATACCGCACGAGTAGACCTACTCTCTCCCCATTCCCTTCAAACTGATACGAATGATAACCCATTTGTCTTGAGGCGCGTCCGGATTTAGAGGCTGTACGAGTAAATAATGTTTCTCATTGTAACCATGAAATGTAAAACAGTCGGACACAAGTTTAATAGTATTGTTTTCGAGGATCTGAACTTTTATTTTTATTGGCTGACGATTAGAGAAACGTATAGTTTGATTACCCGTTTGACTGATAGTGATTGAGTTGTTGGGTCGAACGTATTGGACAAACATATCATTGTGCCAATCATTTTGGTAGAGTCGGCTTTTAGTGATGTCCTCCAATACTTGAAAGTCATGCATCTTATTGATATCATTAACTTCAACGTTCACCATCTGGTCGATCATTTCTGGATGTTGTAGTTGTAACGGCGGAACCGGTCTGACTATCGGTTCGGGCATTTGCGGTGCATTTTTGACATCAAACTCTTCGGGCCGATAGACTACTGCGTGCGTTAAAAATGTCTCCATTTGTTTAAATGAAATCATCAGTTGGTCTAACAAATTAAATTCGGCATAGAATCGTAGCCTAAGGTCATCCAATTCGGGTACATAAGCTTTACAATGACTTTGGTATAGTTGATGTCCGACATCAATGAGCAAATTGCTGGCTTCGATACAATTGTGTAACGCCTGTCGTTCGCATATCTGTTGGGACATTGCTCTGGCCGTTGGTTCGTCTATGATATACAACAGTTCTTGGAGCTGATTGTCCTGTCCTCCTATCTGGACAACTAGTTTTGCTTGTGGACCGCTATTATTGCCGAATCCGTATGAGTGTATTGGTATAATTTTCTTTTTCTTTGTATAGTCAATGACCAAACATACTCTGCTCTGCCTATGGTTAGCCCATTGACAGCCAAATGTATTTTTCTGTAATTCAATGAATCGTGTGTTAGACTCGGCCCATATTCTGACATTAATGGGCACTCCGGCTAGAAGTAGCACCTGTTCATTGTTGTCCAGCATATCGACATATAGTCGCCCTCCCACTACCTCATGTTCTATCTCTACCTCTGCAAGTGGTTGGATAAAATTGTGCACTTGAGTTAACATATTGTTTAACTGTCCGATGTTCATCATTGATTGGCTTTTTGTTGGTTGTATTTGTTTCTGTAGAGCACCTGTATGTAAATCTTCTGTTTGCTTGTCTTGAAACTAACTTTTTTCTTTAAATTAAAAATTTTTATTTTATTTGTTTATTTGTTGTGTTTTTTGGTAATTTTGATAAAAATTATAAATATTTTAATTTAAAATTATTGAAAATTAAATCAATGCTATTAAATTTTTTTTCAACCAAAAATTAATTATTTTATATAAGTGTAATTTTATTAGTTTAATTTTACTCTAATTTAATCAATAGCAATATTAAAACTTTGTGTTTGTTTTTAAAAAAAAAAATTGATTTTACTTTTTTCCCCGTTTATTACCATTTTGTTGGTCATCTTCATGTGGTCTACGAACACCACTACCGGTTCCCGTACTACCAGTGCTACCACTGTCGGCGGCGGGCGACGGTAGATTGAGCGGCATATCGGCCGGTATATTTTCCGGTATCTCTTCCAGTATAACTTCCAGTAGATGTTCCGGTATATATACAGGTATATCTTCAGGTATATTTTCCGGTATATTTTCCGGTATATTTTCCGGTATAACGCCCGGTATATCTACGGGTTTATCGAACTGTACATCGACCGGCTTCTCGGACTTTTCAGAATCTAAAGAATCAGAAACTGAGTTTATATCCAATTTAGGCCATACTCTGGATAACACAATTGGATTGGTATGATATGGTTGGTCCGGAATCATTACGCTGTGCCGATAAAATTTTTCTAACTTTTCAAGTGCCAGATAATTGTCGTACAATTGTTGTCTGACATTATCCAACCAATTGGCTTTTCCAATCAATTGCAATTCAAATATTACATTTTCGTCGGCCATTCCTCTGGCAAAGCGTTGCATTTCCAATAGCAGTGACGCATAATTTCTTTGATTGTCAAACCAGTTACGATAGACTTCCATGAGGTTCTCCACTTCGAACAATTGGCGCAATTCGGCGGCCATCGCACGGGTAACAAAAAATACCCGTTCGGAGCCGTCGTCCACCTCAGCGAACCGCATAGGCATTGTCTGCCATCCGTTTATACCAATAATCGGATGATTGCCGTGAAGACCGCACGAGTAGACCGACTCTCTTCCCTTTCCATTCATACCGATACGAAGGATAACCCATTTGTCTTGAGGCGCGTCCGGGTTTAGGGGATGTACGAGTAAATAGTGTTTATCATTGTAACCATGAAATGTAAAATAGTCGGACACAAGTTTAATAGTATTATCTTCGAGGTTCTGAACTTTTATATTTATTAGTTGTCTATTAGAGAAACATATTCTTTGATTACCTGTTTGACTGATAATGATTGAGTTATCGGGTCGAACGTATTGGACAAACATATCATTGTGCCAATCGTTTTGGTAGAGTTGACTGTTAACAATGTCCTCCAATACTTCAAACTGCTGCATCTCATTGATATCTTTAACTTCAACATTAACCATTACGTCGATAATATCTGGATCTTGTAGTTGTAACGGCGGAACCGGTTTGACTATCGGTTCGGGCATCTGCGGTGCATTCTCCACATCAAACTCTTCGGGCCGATAGACTACTGCATGCGTTAAAAATGTCTCCATTTGTTTAAATGAAGTCATCAGTTGGTCTAACAAAAGGAATTCGCCATAGAATCGTAGCCTAAGGTCATCCAATTCGGGTACATAAGCTTTACAATGACTTTGGTATAGTTGATGTCCGACATCAATGAGCAAATTGCTGGCTTCGATACAATTGTGTAACGCCTGTCGTTCGCATATTTGTTGGGACAGTGCTCTAGCCGTTAGTTCGTCTATGATAAACAACAGTTCCTGGCGTTGATTGTCCTGTCCTTCCTGGACAATGAGTTTTGCTTGTGGACCGCTATTATTGCCGAATCCGTATGAGTGCATTGGTATAACTTTTAATTTATTTGTGTAGTCAATGACCAAACATACTCTGGTCTGCCGATGGATAGCCCAATTGTTGTATCTTTCTGTAATTGTATGAACCGTGTGCTAAACTGGTTCCATATTTTGACATTTATGTCCAGTCCGGCTACACGTAGCACTTGTTCATTGTTGTCCAGCATATCGACATATGGTCGCCCCTCCACTCCCTCAGGTTCTATGTCTACCTCAGCAAGTGGTTGGATAAAATTGTGCACTTGTGTTAACAAAACGTTTAACTGTCCGATATTCATCTTTGATTGGTTTGTTGTTGGTTGTATTTGTTTCTGTAGAGCACCTGTATGCAAAGCACATGTATGTAAATCTTCTGTTTGCTTGTATTGAAAATAACTTTTTTTCTTTAAATTAAAAATTTTTATTTTATTTGTTGTTTTTTGTTGTTGTAATTTTGAATAAATTTTAAGTTAAAATTATTGAAAATTAAATCAATGCTATTAAATTTTTTCACGTTAATTAACAAAAATCAGTTAGAAGACAGCTTATGTATGTAACCAATACGGGTAGGTTTGTCATATTTAAGTCGAGTACAAATTACAAGATTAATACCTATAAGGGCTTCGGTTACCTTAGGGGGCTTCGCTATTATACATTATTTGTCGCATTCAATAAAACACTATTAAATGCATTGATTTAACTATTAGCGCGCGAAATGAACTAAACTTATTCAATTAAAAAAACAAATACTAATATAAATACAATAAAACATACAAACTAACCCAAATATAAGGGTATTATCAATATAATAGTATAGCATATAAAACCAATATTAAAAGCGAAGCCCCCTAAGGTAACTAAAGCCCCTATAAGTTTTGTCGTATGATTCTGACTATGGTTGAACATAATCCGACAGTCAGGGCTACTATTGAACAGATTATCAATTGTGATTGGTTTACAATGTAATATCATTGGGTCAGTCCGTATCGGTCGATCGATACGGGTAGTTGGTTAGTGAGGGTTAGGTGAGGGCATGTGATGTGTGTGCCTAGAGTTTTAAAAAATTGTTATTAAACTGTGTTAATAAAAAAACATAGTGAAATCAATAGTAAATATATAATTTAATTAAATTAAGTTCTTTATTGTAGATAAAACAATTTATGTTATATTAAAATAGACATTAAGGGTTAATGAGAGGGAGGATTGGAGAGGAGGGGTAGTGGGGCTGTTAGTTTTTTTAGAGGATAATAAGTAAGTCATTATGTAATGTCAATATTAACTAGTTTTAACAACTATTAAAATTTTAAAAACTTTTTAAAAAAATCTTAATGCCAATTTAATTGCTAAAAACAATAAAAAAATTATAACTAAATTTAATTACAAAAATTTTAATCAAAAAATATTTTTTTTAAACTTACTACCAATTGACAGATTAAGACAATTGAATGACAGGTCACTGGGCCGGACACACCAACACCATCGACAACAACAACGATATGAGTGGTAATATAGACAATATTGTTTGTATTTTGAATAAATATATTTTTTTAAAAATTAATTGTATGATTGGCCATATAATACACTTTCGATTGTTAAAAAAATAATTTGTATTTACACTTTGTGTTTGTTTTTTCTTAAAAAATTGATTTTACTTTTTTCCCCGTTTATTACCATTTTGTTGATCATCTTTATGTGGTCTACGAACACCACTACCGGTTCTCGTACTACGAGTCCTACCACTGTCGGCGGCGGGCATATCGGCCGGGAGATCTTCCGGTATATTTTCCGGTATCTCTTCCAGTATAACTTCCAGTAGTTGTTCCGGTATATATACTGGTATATCTTCAGGTATATTTTCCGGTATATTTACCGGTATATCTTTCAACGGTATATCAACGACCGGTATATCTACGGGTTTATCGAACTGTACATCGACCGGCTTCTCTGACTGTTCAGAATCTAAATCGGCTGAGTTTATATCCAATTTAGGCCATACCCTGGATAACACAATTGGATTGGTATAATATGGTTTGTCCGGAATCATTACACTGTGTCGATAAAATTTTTCTAACTTTTCGAGTACCAGATAATTATCATACAATTGTTGTCTGACATTATCCAACCAATTGGCTTTTCCAATCAATTGCAACTCCAATATTGCATTCTCGTCGGCCATTCCTCTGGCAAAGCGTTGCATTTCCAATAGCAGTGACACATAATTTTTCAGATCGTCAAACCAGTTGCGATAGACTTCCATGACGTCTTCCACTTCGAACAATTGGCGCAATTCGGCGGCCATCGCACGGGTAACAAAAAATACCCGTTCGGAGCCGTCGTCCACCTCAGCGAACCGCATAGGCATTGTTTGCCATCCGTTTATACCAATAATCGGATGATTGCCGTGAATACCGCACGAGTAGAGAGAATCTCTCCCCGTTCCCTTCTTAGTGCTACGAATGATAACCCATTTGTCTTGAGGCGCGTCCGGGTTTAGAGGCTGTACGAGTAAATTGTGTTTCTCAATGTAACCATGAAATGTAAAAGAGTCGGACATAAGTCTAATAGTATTATCATCCATGATCTCAACTCCTATATCTATTGGTTGTCTATTAGAGAAACGTATAGTTTGATTACCCGTTTGACTGATAGTGATTGAGTTGTCGGGTCGAACGTATTGGACAAACATATGATTGTGCCAATCGTTTTGGTAAAGTTGGCTATTAGTGATGTCCTCCAATACTTGAAAGTCGTGCATCTCATCGATATCTTTAACTTCAATGTTCACCATACCTTCGATCATTTCTGGATGTTGTAGTTGTAACGGCGGAACCGGTCTGACTATCGGTTCGGGCATCTGCTGTGCATTCTTGACATCAAACTCTTTGGGCCGATAGACTACTGCATGCGTTAAAAATGTCTCCATTTGTTTAAATGAAGTCATCAGTTGGTCTAACAAAAGGAATTCGCCATAAAATCGTAGCCTAAGGTCATCCAATTCGGGTACATAAGCTTCACAATGACTTTGGTATAGTTGGTGTCCGACATCAATGAGCAAATTGCTGGCTTCGATACAATTGTGTAACGCCTGTCGTTCGCATATTTGATGGGACATTGCTCTGGCCGTTGGTTCGTCTAAGACATACAACAGTTCTTGGAGCTGAGTGTCCTGTCCTTCCAGGACAACGAGTTTTGATTGTGGACCGCTATTATTGCCGAATCCGTATGAATGCATTGGTATAATCTTATCTTTCTTTGTATAGTCAATGACCAAACATACTCTGCTCTGCAGATGGTTAGCCCATTGACAGCCAAATGTAGTTTTCTGTAATTTTATGAACCGTGTGTTAGACTCGGCCCATATTCTGACATTAATGGGCACTCCGGCTACACGTAGCACCTGTTTATTGTTGTCCAGCATATCGACATATGGTCGCCCCTCCACTCCCTCATGTTCTATGTCTACCTCTGCAAGTGGTTGGACAAAATTGTGCACTTGTATTAACATATTGTTTAACTGTCCGATGTTCATCATTGATTGGTTTTTGGTTGTATTTATTGGTTGTCAGTAGAGCACCTGTATGTAAAGCTATATGTGAATCTTCTGTTTGTTTGTCTTGAAGATAACTTTTTTTCTTTAAATTAAAATTTTTTATTTTATTTGTTTATTTGTTGTTTTTTTTTGTAATTTTGAGTAAATTATAAATATTTTAATTTAAAATTATTGAAAAATACCAATGCTATTAAATTTTACAACAACAAAAATTAATTATTTTATAAAAGTGTTAGTAATTGTATATTAATTTTATTTATATATTTTGATTATATTATTGATTATTTAAATTTGAAAGTATTAATGCCATTCAAAACTTTATTATTGAATCAACAAAAAATTAAATTAATTTTTTTACCTAAGTGCACTTGTTAGATTTATTTAAAAAAAAATTATATTTAATTAATTCAATGGTTAAGAGTGTTTACACAACTATTGGACAAAACTATTTAAGTTACATTAAAATAGATATTAAGGGTTAAGGAGAGGGGAGGGGTATTATCTTAAGTAATGTTAGGTAATGTTTGGGCTTCGGTTACCTGGATGTTATTGATTGAATTAATTTAAAGTTATTTAATCAAAAAAAAAAACAAATACTAATATAAATACATTAAAACAAAGCAAACCATCCAAACTTTCAACACATCCTAACCCCACTCCATCCCATACCATCACCACTTCCTAACCTCACACACCCCACCCAACCTAACCCCAAACTAACCGAAATATAAGGGTATTATCAATATAATAGTATAGCATATAAAACCAATATTAAAAGCGAAGCCCCCTAAGGTAACTAAAGCCAATGTTTGTTATATAAAATAAACAAACAGACTATTGAATCAATTTACTAGTTTTAACAAATATTAAAATTTAAAAAACCATTTTTTTAAAAAAAAGTTTTAAGAAAATATATTTATTGACAATTGATTTTCAGACAGATTATCAATTGTTGTCAATAAGTTCAGAGTCATGAGTGATAGTAATAAAAATAGTGGTAATAGACGCTACCGACCGTACGATCCGAGTCAATCGGGTCATCGCCTAACACATAGAACTGGTAGTAGATCATCTTCATCAGCTGATGATGACAATGATGATGCTAGTCCTGGTTCGGGTAGAAGTAGTCAGCCACGGATGCCATCACCACCAGCTGTTGACCCAATGGAAGCAATAAACAGACTGTTGGCCACTAGAGATCCGTTTACAGGACAACCGTTGACAGTACCACCATCACCACCACCACAACATACTGGACAACAACATCAACAGCAATGGCTACAACAACAGCAACAAACAAGAGCACCAACTATGGGTCAGTTGCCTGAATGGCAGCGACCATCAGAATTATGGGGACAGCAACCGATGCCGTTATATCGAGCAACGCCACTGAAACTAAAACAGCCATTATCAACATACACACCGACGGCATCGGCGATACAGCAACGGCCACAACGTCGTCCGCCGCCGCCGGCAACGTACACTCTGATGTCATTGGTAGAACCGCAACCATTTGTGGCACCGGAACCACCTGAACAACAATCGCCAAAACAGTCAAAACGTCTTAGACTACTATTGTCTTCGTCGTCATCGTCGTCATCACCAACATCTGCTACATTGAAACAAGCATCTGTTGTTGCTGCCGATGATGATCAATTAGATCCAACAATCCGGCCACAAGAAGCCCAACAAATACAACAACAACTACAGGCCGTTCAATCAGTACGGCCACAGTCGCCAGAGACTACACTCCGTTTACAGGCACCTCTGTCACCGTATTCCTATGTCAGACAACGGTATCCCAATTGGACAGATGTTGGTAAACAGTTTGAAGAACCGATACCCAGCGGACAGCCGCTGCCGGACAATGAAATGAAAGTGATCAAAAAAAACGGTATCAAATTTAGAAGCCGTCTGGGCAAAGGTGGCTACGGATCGGTATATGAGTGTCAGCTAACAAAACCATTGGAGGACAGGACTACGTTTCCCACAGATGGGTTGGCCGTAAAAATCTTATCGTTGAATAAGTACAACACTAGCGGCCGAACACCCTATGCGGCACTCAAAGAGATTGTAAACGAGTATCGATTGCAAAGTAAATTAAAACACGACAACATTGTGTCGTCGATTGATTTTTTAAATTTAAAAGATACCGAAACAGAGTTCCCAATTATCAGACAATTGCATTTTATGGAGTTATGTAACGGCACTCTACTGGATCTGTTGGGCCGTTTTGGTCGGATGGGCGAAACAGATGCCAAACAATGGTTTCGTCATATTAGTCACGGGCTCCGGTATCTACACTCCAGGGCTATCTGTCACATGGATATCAAGTGTCTGAACATACTTTACAAGGGTCAGTATCCGGGTTCGGCTGTATTCAAATTGGCTGACTATGGTCTGGCCGGTTATAGAGATAAGATTACTGGTAAATATGGAACCACTAGGTATATGGCACCGGAACAGGGCGATAAAGTAAAGGTTAGTACCTATCCGTGCGATATCTGGTCGCTGGGTTTGACACTGTGCGAGACATTGGGCGGCGTACACCAGGAGCAAGTGGTAAAAAATCAGTTCCAAATGTTGACCAATCAGGGACAGTATGATGTATTCAAGACTACTACCTCATTGAAGATCGACACCTATGAGTTTGTACAAATGGTTAACAGTATGCTGTCGATAACACCGACTGATAGACCTACTTGTGACCAATTGGTTCATTGTAATTGGTTTCGGCTTCAATGATGATGATGATTAGGGTAGGTTTTTAGGTATGTTAGGTTCGGGGGGTATGCTTGTGGGTGGACAGTAACATTGTAAAATACATGGGATACATAATAAACATTAATCAAACATAACAAAAAATCCACACAAATAAAATATATTTTTATTTAAGTAGTTTAATGTTAATTGAAAACACACAGAATAGCAATAATATATAAGTGTTTTTTAGTTTAAAATAATAAATTTTATTAAAAAAAATTAGATTTATATATAAATAGTTTTTTTTAGAGATATTCATAAATAGATTACCAGCGCTTGAATCTGTGAACACTGGTTAAGTATGAGAGGTCATAGACATCGGCCATACAATCCGGCCGACTCTAGTCATAGTAGACGATCAGCAGCCGCTGGTCGTGGTCAGGACAGCCGATCAGCACCGGAACAACAACAACAACAAAAGGAACAGCAATTATCAGTACCGGTAGATGAACCACAACAGGAACTGCAGTCAATGGATGACTTTCTTAATGAATGGTTTGAATTACTGCCAGAATTGCCTTCACCACCACCGCCATCATCACCACCACCACCATCACCAAAGTCATTACAATGGTACCAACATTGGGAACAACCACTACAACCACAACAACTACCAACAACACCACGACCGGCGCCAGCAGCGACATACACACAGTTATCGGTTAGACAACCGCATCCATTTGTGGCACCGGAAGAAATACCGGAATTGCCATCATTTGGATTTTATCACGACTATAAATCAGCAAACAAAACACCGTCACCACCACTGCTACCACTGTCACTACCATCATTGCCATCATTATTTCAGGACAAACGACAACAGTTACCAGCACCGTCATCACCGGTATCATCGACTAAGACACTGGTAGCACACAAAGGATGGGAAAATTCGTCGTTTTCATCGGACAAATCATCAACAATGAAACCAATTGGATGGCCAAATGAACAATTGGATGAAGAGGAGAAAAGACCGCCGACACCGTACACTTATGTTAAGCAACAGTTTCCCGATTGGCAAACAGTTGGCCAAAAATTTAGAGAACTAATACCGATCGGACAGTCGATGCTGGACGAAGAAATATTAATGGCCCAAAGTTTAGGTATCGAAATTGATCACTGTATAGGTTTGGGTGGATACGGTGCTGTATATCAGTGTCGGCTAACAAAACCATTGGACGGTATGTCGACGGTTCCCACTGAAATGTTGGCCGTAAAAATTTTATCCCTAGACGATTACAATATAAATAATCGTACCCCGTACCAAGCATTGAAGGCAATGGTAGCCGAGTATCGGCTACACAAACAGCTAACTCACCCGAACATTGTAGCCACAATCGCTAGTGTCGTCATCAACGATCCCAGTACACTGTTTCCCTGTATACGGCACCTACACATTATGGAACTGTGCGATGACAATCTCTACCATCTGCTCCAACAAATGGGCCAACTGAGCGAAAACCATGCCCGTCAATGGTTTCGCCAGATAGTTCACGGACTTCATTATCTACACTCAATGGGTATCTGTCATATGGACATCAAGGGCGGCAACATTGTCTATAAAGGCCAGGATCCGGATCAGGCTGTTTATAAACTGACTGACTATGGTATGTCTGGTTATATGCATGAGATAACTGGATTTTCGGCAACACCACGCTATATGGCGCCAGAACTTACTGATCAATCGCAAACAGTGCAAACTAGACCGTGCGATATCTGGTCGCTTGGTATAACTTTATGCGAAACGTTGAGCGGTATTGGCCTTCACGATACGGTTATCGATCAAATCAGACAGATTGACAATCCTGGCCAGTTTACCGCATACTACATAAACGGTTTGTTACCCGGGTCAATTAATTCATACAGGTTTGTCCATATGATTAACAGTATGTTGTCCATAGATCCAGCAGCCAGATCTACCTGCGAGGGTCTAATCAATTGTGATTGGTTTCGGTTATGATGATTATATTGGCAACAACTACCCTACCACTACTACCACTACCACCAACACCACCACTAACACCTTAAAAAATAAAGGGTATGTATAATTATAAGTTAAGTATACTATGATTTATATTAGTCTTAAGTTAAATGAAAATATTTCTTTAAAGAGTTTATAAAATGTTTTGATAATTTGTTACTAATAACTAATAAATTATAAAAAATAGCATCAATTAAATGAACAATTTATTACAATATAATTAGTTAGTACTATTTACAGGTATACATGGTTATAAATATACAGATATACTGTATGCTAATATTGAATTTGCACAAAAATGACAGGTCGGTTACATTTAGTAGTAATTTCGGGTTATTTTTTGTATAATTGTCAAACCATAAACTAAATGTACCTGTAATATACAGTACACGTACACACACACACACACACACACACACACACACACACACACAATAGTGATGATCAATGTCTACAACAATGTCTTACTTTAATTAGTTAGCAAAACATTATGCTATTATGTTTTAAATTTTTAAAACAAATATTGTTTGTTTTTTCAATTTTAAATTAAACTTAAAAATTTACTACAAATACTTGAATACAAAAAATTATCACCGATTGCCAGTTTCAGGACCTAAACTACCGTATATGACTAACTGATCAAATAGATACACACACACACACACACACAGACACGACATCAAAACTACAATATGAGTGGTGGTAAAGGACGTTACCATCCATACAAATCGGCACTTATTCGTAGTCGCGGTCGCCGTCAGGCTGCCAAACAACAAGAACCTGAACCCTATCTGCCACTTATACAGCCACCAGTGCGACAGCCACAGCCACAGATATGGAGTCCATTTGAGGAACCGAATCAACCGCAGATTTATGGCTATCAACAGCCGCAGCCACGGCTACCGCCCGCAGCGACATTCATACCGTCGGCATACGGACAGCCGCGTCCATACGAGGCACCGATTCAACCGCAGATTTATGGCTATCAACAGCCGCAGCCACGGCTACCGCCCGCAGCGACATTCATACCGTCGGCATACGGACAGCCGCGTCCATACGAGGCACCGATTCAACCGCAGATTTATGGCTATCAACAGCCGCAGCCACGGCTACCGCCGGCAGCGACATACACAAAGACGGCAGAAAAAGAGCCGCATCCAGATGTGGCACCTGTTGAACCGCCGATTCCTGGCTACCTGGCAGATTTCTGGGATCCGCAGCCTGTAATCCCGCAGTCTCGATTTGTTCAGCCGCCCGACCACTCTAATAGAGTATCGGTTATAGTGCGTCCACATAAGACACTATTTCCAGTGCAACCACCGCCGGGACAGCCGCAACAACCATCACTGCCGTCACCGGTTATACAACAACAACGTCTAACGAAAAAAGGTTTACCGCGCAAATTTATAATGTCGTCAAAACCGCGACAATCTAGAAAGTCGTCAAAATCACAGCAACCAATACTACCAAAACCCGCACCACCACCACAACCATCAAACGAAGAGCCTGAGGATATATTGAATAGTGATTGGTGGAAAAAATTTAAAGGTCAAAGTAATCAACAAATGCCGCCGTCTGAACAGTTTTCAACATTCATGCCAAACCCTTCACCGCCATCATCACCACCGTTACAGACCTATTATGATCCATCAATTCCGCGAAAACGAGGCCGACCACGATTAATTCGACAACAGCCAAAAGTTTCAAGACCGCCGCGGCCGCCATCACCATTTCAACCGCCGTCGCCGCTGCCGCCGCCGCCGCCGCTGCCGCCACGATCACCACAACCACAACCGTCACAGCCGGCAGAGATATATCCACAATCAGACGAAGACTCTGATGATGGAATATTGACGATAGCAGAATTGGAACCATCAGTTTCATCGCCATCACCACCGCCGTCGCCACCATCACCATTGCCACTGGCGCCGCCACGATCACCATCACCACCACCAAATTGGTCAGTCCCTGGACAACAACAACAGCAGCAGCAGCAGCAAAGATGGCCAGTCCCGAGACAACAGCAGCAGCAGCAAAGATGGCCAGTCCAGAGACAACAACAACCGCAGCAAACGCCAGTTCGGGGACCAAACTTTTATACGGATACTATCGATGAAATGTTAGGAAAAACATCGGGAAAACAACAACAAGAATATCCACCGCCGGTATATGAAGATATTAGTGATTAAATATTAGTCACATTTGTTATCATTATTATTCATGTTATTCAAGTCACCAAAAATAAAAAATTCATTAAATCAAATTAATTCAATCAAATCAAACATATCAGTAGACAATTATATATATATATATATAGTATTAAAGAAATTAATTATTAAATGAATTACTATTTAGTTAATTAAATTTGATTAGTTATGGATTAGTAATGGATTAGTTAGTTAGTTAGTTCCCTACCATTTTCAAAACAAATTAATTTAATTAATTTTAAAGCAAATCACACACATATTAGTACAACAATATATAAATACATTACATAAACAATAGTTATGGTCAATGTCTACAAAAATTTCTTTGATTGATTGATTAATTAATTAATTTGCATTAAAACAATATGCTATTAAGTTTTAAATTTTTAAAACAAATATTGTTTGTTTTCAATTTTTAATTAAACTTAAAAATTTACTACAAAGACTTGAATCCACAAAAATTACCACCGATTGCCAGTTTCAGGACCTAAACTATTAGATGACTAAATGGTAATCAAATAGACACTCACAGATACCACAAACAAAAACAACAGTATGAGTGGTGGTAGAGGACGTTACCATCCATACAAATCGGCCCTTATTCGTAGTCGCGGTCAGGCCGCCAAACAACAAGAACCTGAACCCTATCTGCCACTTATACAGCCACCAGTGCGACAGCCACAGCCATATGAGGAACCGATTCAACAGCAGATTTATGGCTATCAGCAGCCGCAGCCACGGCTACCGCCGGCAGCGACACACACACCGTCGTCATCCAGACAGGCGCATCCATATGTGGCACCGGTTGAACCGCAGATTTCTGGCTACCAGCAGCCGCAGTCGTTGCCGCCATATCGGAATAATAGAGTATCGGTTATAGTGAGGCCACGTAAGACCAGTAATATACCAGTAATGCCGTCATCAACACAATCACTACTACCATCACTACCGGCAGCGACTACATTACCATCATCAGATGAAAAGGTTGATGGATTATTGCTGCATGATTGGTGGATGTCAAAATTAGACCAAAAAGAGTCAACCCCTCCACAACCATCGGTACAACAGCAGCAAAGATGGCAACCATATCGGAATAATAGAGTATCGGTTATAGTGAGGCCACGTAAGACCAGTAATATACCAGTAATGCCGTCATCAACACAATCACTACAATCATCAGATGATAAGGTTGATGGATTATTGCTGCATGATTGGTGGATGTCAAAATTAGACCAAAAAGAGTCAGCCCCTCCACAACCACCGCCGCCGCCACCACCATATTGGCCAGTCCCTGGAGAACAGCAGCAAAGATGGCCAGTCCCGAGACAACAACAGCAGCAAAGATGGCCAGACCCGAGACAACAGCAGCAAAGATGGCCAGTCCCGAGACAACAACAACAGCAGCAAAGATGGCCAGACCCGAGACAACAACAACAACAGCAAAGATGGCCAGACCCGAGACAACAACATCCACCACAGGTATATGAAGATATTGATGAAGATTAGTCACAATTATTATTATCATGAAGTCACAAAAAAATCATTAAATCAAATTAATTCAATCAAATCAAACATATCAGTAGACAATTATATATATATATATATATAGTATTAAAGAAATTAATTATTAAATGAATTACTATTTAGTTATTTAAATTTGATTAGTAATGGATTAGTAATGGATTAGTAATGGATTAGTTAGTTAGTTCCCTACCATTTTCAAAACAAATTAATTTAATTAATTTTAAAGCAAATCAAACAAATCACACACATATTAGTACAACAATACATTACATAAACAATAGTTATGGTCAATGTCTACAACAATTTCTTTGATTGATTGATTAATTAAATAATTTGCATTAAAACAATATGTTATTATGTTTTCAATTTTTAATTAAACTTAAAAATTTGCTACAAAGACTGCCGATTACTGATAATCAAATAGACACTCACAGACACCACCAACAAAAACAACAGTATGAGTGGTGGTAGAGGACGTTACCATCCATACAAATCGGCCCTTATTCGTAGTCGCGGTCGCAGTCGCAGTCAGGCCGCCAAACAACAAGAACCTCAACCCTATCTGCCACCTACACAACCACAGCCACGGCTACCTCCGGCATCGACATACACACCGTCGGCAAACAGACAACCGCAACCATTTGTGGCACCGGTTGAACCGCAGATTTTTAGGCCAGTTATACCCGAGAAATCGGATTTAAATTTAATAGAACAGCTTCCACCGCAAAGACCATTAAGACCGTGGCCGACCAGACAGCCACAAATACAGACGCCAGTCTCATTTCCGCCATTTGGAGCTTTCAACTATGGAACACCGGGACATCATGATCAGCCACGACCAACGACACCGACACCATTGTTACCGTCGGAAGCACCGGTAGAACAGCAAAAAGAGTGGTGGTATCCAGAAACATTTCCATCACTACCATCAATTGGACCGGGCAATGCTGGAGCACCGGTAGAACAGCCAAAAGAGTGGTGGTACCCAGAAACATTTCCATCACTTCCATCATTTGAATCGGGCAATGCTGGGGCACCGGTAGAACCGCCAAAAGAGTGGTGGTACCCAGAAACATTTCCATCACTTCCATCATTTGGATCCAACAATTCTGGACCGGGCAATGCTAATATCTATGGACCACCACCACAATCACCACTACCACTAACACCACAACCACACCAATCACCACAATCTCCACCAACACCATCACCATCATTAACACCACCGTTACCGTCATTCAATTTTTTTGGACAGAAGGACAAAAGTACACCATTTCCGGTACCACCATTACCGGCCAATCCGCAACAATCATATGTGGCAGTACCGCAGGTGTCACCATCGCAAGTGTCACTTCCCTCATTTGGATCCCTTAGTTTTGGATCTTACAATTCTAATGTACGAACTCCATCACCGCCACCATTAACAACACCACCAGGACTACCATCGCCGGTATCCCAATTGGGTCCGCAAATAACGTTGCCGTCCAACTTCCAGTTGCCATTTGGACCGCACGATTCAACTAAATCATTAGTGCCATCAATTCAACAACCGGGACAGCCAGTGTCGCCAGCATTAGTAACACCAGTGCCGAAATCACATGTAGCAGTACCGCAAGTACCGTCACCGACACCAACAACGTCAGCATCTTTTGGGTCATTGCCATCATTTGGATCACTCAGTTTTGGATCGGGCTTGAAAACACCGGTTCCCCAATTGCAACCATCGCCAGTGCCAGTGCCACCGGGACCGATAGTACCGTCAGCGGCCAAACAATCTCAATTTTATGTGCCACCCACCAATATATGGTCGCAACCACTATTATCGCCGCAGCAAACATTGCCACAGTTTCTCAACATTCCAGGCGGCTCTATATATGGACCTCAAGCATCGGGACTACAACGACCACCACAACCGGTAACACCATTTGCCAATGTTCAACAACGGTATCCCACTTGGCTGGACGTGGGCACCAAATTTTCGATACAAATACCGGCAAACCAGCCGCTAACTAATGATGAAATAGATATGACTAAAAAAGAAGGCATTGAATTTAAGCGTTCATTGGGCACCGGCGGTTTCGGACAGGTATACGAGTGTCAGCTAACAAAACCGATAAACAATAGGACTACATATCCCAATCAATTGTTGGCCGTAAAAATTGTATCCATTAGTAATTACCTAAGAGTGGGTAATACACCCTATCAAGCACTCAAGGCTATGGTCTATGAGTATCGATTGCACGAACCGCTAAATCATCCGAATATTGTCGATACTATAGACGTGTTTAATATTACTGATCCGATAACACAGTTCCCCTGTATTAGACAATTGATTTTCATGGAACTGTGTAGCGGAACACTACACCAATTGGTCGTACAAATGATCCTAATGACCGAAACGCATGCCCGACAATGGTTTACACAAATAATTAGAGGTGTCGAGTATTTGCATGGAAAGGGCATCGCCCATATGGATATCAAATGTCCGAACATACTCTACAAGGGTCAGTTTCCGGGTCAGGCTGTTTTCAAATTGGCCGACTATGGTCTGGCAGCCCAGCATCCAGAGGTTTTGGGTAATAGAGGAACCATTGGCTATATGGCACCTGAATTGGCACCCAATGCAACTGTACGTACCTTTCCGTGCGATATCTGGTCACTTGGTATAACTTTGTGCGAAACACTGAGCGGTATTGGATTGTCTCGAATGGTTGTCGACCAGTTCCGATTGGTGACCAATCAACATGACTTTCTTCAGTTCAAACAAACTACACAGATTCAAGTGGATACATACGCTTTTGTTGATATGATAATGGGTATGTTAATTATTGATCCAAACATTAGGTTTACCTGTACACAGATTATCAATAGTCAATGGTTTGCTAATCCATAATAAAATAAGCGATGTTTGTGAGGATCGGTTAAGGTTAAGGTGTATCAACCAGTATGTGCTCGTATTATACAAAGCATTTATTTTTGGTTGAAATAAATTATGACAAAAAAATAGCAAATTAATTATTACTATAGTTTATTAGCGATAATATTGCAAATGAAACAAACAAACACACAAATAGTTAAATTTATTTTTATATAGTAATTAGTAATAGTTGTATTAATAGTAGATATCAATCAAAAAATCAAACTCTAAATAATAATTTTTTTTATTAATTAATTTATTATTAAATTAGTAATTAATTAGTCTATAAAATAGGTCATAGCTGATCGTCCCGCAAAACAGGCCGTTTCCATTCCGTTTCTAATAGAGTATCGGTTAGAGTAACGGTCCACTTAAGACATTATTTCCAGTGCAACCACCACCGGGACAGCCGCAACAACCATCAGTACCGTCACCGGTTATACAACAACTAAATCTAACGAAAAAAGGTCAACCGCGCAAACATAAAATGCCGTCAAAACCGCGACAATCTAAAAAGTCGTCAAAATCACAACTACCACCACCAACACCACCATCACTACCGACATTACCATCAAACGACAAGTCTGAAGATATATTGCAGAATGAGTGGTGGAAAAAATTTTCAAATCCAAGAAATCAACAACAAATGTTACCAACAATGCATTTTGCATTAAAACAATATGCTATTATGTTTTAAATTTTTAAAACAAATATTGTTTGTTTTCAATTTTAAATTAAACTTAAAAATTTACTACAAAGACTTGAATCCACAAAAATTACCACCGATTGCCAGTTTCAGGACCTAAACTATTAGATGACTAACTGATAATCAAATAGACACTCACAGACACCACCAACAAAAAAAACAACAGTATGAGTGGTGGTAGAGGACGTTACCATCCATACAAATCGGCTCTTATTCGTAGTCGCGGTCGCGGTCGCAGTCAGGCCGCCAAACAACAAGAACCTCAACCCTATCTGCCACATACACAGCCACTGCTACCTCCGGCAGCGACATACACACCGTCGGCAAACAGACAACCGCAACCATTTGTGGCACCGGTTGAACCGCAGATTTTTAGGCCAGTTATACTCGAGAAATCGGATTTAAATTTAATAGAACAGCTTCCACCGCAAAGACCATTAAGACCGTGGCCGACCAGACAGCCACAAATACAGACGCCAGTCTCATTCCCGCCATTTGGAGCTTTCAACTATGGAACACCGGGACATCATGATCAGCCACGGCCAACGACACCGACACCATTGTTACCGTCAGAAGCACCGGTAGAACAGCAAAAAGAGTGGTGGTATCCAGAAACATTTCCATCACTACCATCAATTGGACCGGGCAATGCTGAAGCCCCGGTAGAATCGCCAAAAGAGTGGTGGTATCCAGAAACATTTCCATCACTTCCATCATTTGAATCGGGCAATGCTGGGGCACCTGTAGAACAACCAAAAGAGTGGTGGTACCCAGAAACATTTCCATCACTTCCATCAATTGGATCCAACAATTCTGGAGCGGGCAATGCTGAAGCACCGGTAGAACAGCAAAAAGAGTGGTGGTACCCAGAAACATTTCCATCACTTCCATCAATTGGATCCAACAATTCTGGAGCGGGCAATGCTGAAGCACCGGTAGAACAGCAAAAAGAGTGGTGGTACCCAGAAACATTTCCATCACTTCCATCATTTGGATCTAACAACTCTGGACCGGGCAATGCTAATATCTATGGACCACCACCAACACCACAACCACCTCCGCCATCATCACCATCACCACCGCCACCGTTACCGTCATTCAATTTTTTTGGACCGAAGGACAAAAGTACTTCACATCCGGTACCACCATTGCCGGCCAATCCGCAACAATCATATGTGGCAGTACCACAGGTGTCACCATCGCAAGTGTCACTTCCCTCATTTGGATCCCTTAGTTTTGGATCTTACAATTCTAATGTACGAACTCCATCACCGCAACCATTAACAACACCACCAGGACTACCATCGCCGGTATCCCAATTGGGTCCGCAAATAACGTTGCCATCCAACTTTCAGTTGCCATTTGGACCGTACGATTCAACTAAATCATTAGTGCCATCAATTCAACAACCGGGACAGCCAGTGTCGCCAGCATTAGTAACACCAGTGCCGAAATCACATGTAGTAGTACCGCAAGTACCGTCACCGACACCAGCAACACCAGCATCTTTTGGGTCATTACCATCATTTGGATCCCTCAGTTTTGGATCGGGCCTCAAAACACCAGTTCCCCAATTGCAACCATCAGTGCAACCATCACCGGGACCGATAGTGCCGTCAGCGGCCAAACAATCTCAATTTTATGTGCCACCCACCAATATATGGTCGCAGCCACCATTATCGCCGCAGCAGACATTGCCACAATTTCTCAACATTTCAAGCGGCTCTATATATGGACCTCAAGCATCGGGACTACAACGACCACCACAACCGGTAACACCGTTAGCCTATGTTCAGCAACGGTATCCCAATTGGTTGGACGTGGGCTCAAAATATTGTATACCAATACCGGCAAACCAGCCGCTAACTAACGACGAGATAGATATGACTAAAAAAGAAGGTATTGAATTTAAGGGTTCATTGGGCACCGGCGGTTTCGGACAGGTATACGAGTGTCAGCTAACAAAACCGATAAACAATAGGACTACATATCCCAATCAATTGTTGGCCGTAAAAATTATATCCATTAGTAATTACCTACGAATGGGTAGTACACCCTATCAAGCACTCAAGACTATGGTCTCCGAGTATCGATTGCTCGAACCGCTAAATCATCCGAATATTGTTGAAACTGTCGATGTGTTTAATATCAAAGATCCGATAACACAGTTCCCCTGTATTAGACAATTGATTTTCATGGAACTGTGTAGCGGAACACTACAACAATTGGTCGTACAAATGGTCACAATGACCGAAACGCATGCCCGTGAATGGTTTACGCAGATAATTAGAGGTGTCGAGTATTTGCATGGAAAGGGCATCGCCCATATGGATATCAAATGTCCGAACATACTCTACAAGGGTCAATTTCCGGGTCAGGCTGTTTTCAAATTGGCCGACTATGGTCTGGCCGCCCAGCATCCAGAGATTTTGGGTAATAGAGGAACCGTTGGCTATATGGCACCTGAATTGGCACCCAATGCAACTGTACGCACCTTTCCGTGCGATATCTGGTCGCTTGGTATAACTTTGTGCGAAACACTGGGCGGTATTGGATTGTCTCGACAGGTTGTCGACCAGTTCCGACTGGTGACCAATCAACATGACTTTCAACAGCTCATACAAACTACACAGATTCAAGTGGATACATTAGCTTTTGTTGATATGATAATTGGTATGTTAATTATTGATCCAAAATTTAGGTTTACCTGTACACAGATTATCAATAGTCAATGGTTTGCTAATCCATAATAAATTAAGCGATGTTTGTGAGGATCGGTTAGGTTAAGGTGTATCAACCAGTATGTGCTCGTATTATTCAAATTTTGGGTTAAAATAAATTATGACAAAAAAATAGCAAATTAATTATTACTATAGTTTATTAGCAATAATTTTAAAGTTGCAAATGAAACAAACAAACACACAAATAGTTAAATTTATTTTTATATAGTTATTATATAGATATCAAACACTAAATAATTATTTTTATTAATTAATTTATTATTAAATTAGTAATTAATTAGTCTATAAAATAGGTTATAGCTGATCGTCCCGCATAACAGGCCGTTTCCATATGACTGTCGGGGTCGGCAAACCAGATAATGGACGAGTAGGTGGACGCCGCGCCTCCAATTACGCCAACAATGGCTATTTCAGCCAAAATTATATTTGTATACAAAGGTATGAGCCTTACAATACAATTAGAAATAAAGTATTTACAAAAAATAACAATCAATTTTATCTAACACCTACCTGGCCTTAAACTCGCCCTTTGGGTCGACCCGACATAGTTTCCAGTAGAAGGCCGGCGGCAATACAAAGGCCATAAGTGTAATGGTTGTGCCGCCCAACAGATCGAGAATTGGTCCAAACGATGGAACCGATAGTCCAGTGAATATCATAGCTGCCATTAGAGCCGTCCTAAATACACAACGTTTCCAATTAAAGACTGTAGTGAATCAATAATGAAATAAATTTAGTAAAATTTATTTATAAAAAAATTTTAATTATAATTTGATTCATACTTTTCGGTATTTTCAGCATTTCTTCCAATTCAAGCAAAACAGGATTAACTATAATAAGAAACGCTGTGTAACAGTGAACCAGAAAAAAACAGTCGATAACAGTGGTCAGTGCCGATTGCGGCAAGTTTTGGATAATATTATCAGCCGTCTGGTTGCCATAGACACCGTAGCCGATACCGGCTACCGGTATATAGAGAAATAATAGTCCGATAAAGCCATAGATCACAGATTTCGGGAATTTATCTTTTTCTTTCATATCGTTTTGAAAATTAGGAAATGCACTGACACCTGGAGATTAGTGATGGTGAGTGAATTAGGAGGTATGGGAGGAATGGCATAGAAATATAAAAAAATAACAGACAAATCAATGTCAGTAAACAACAAACCGTAATCAAATACACGAGTAATTTACCGCCGAAAGCAAACAATATGTTGCCGAAGGCCTTGAAAAAGCTGACAAACGTTGGCATCGGATAATTGGCCGAACTAACCCGATCCTTGGCCTGTAGGCCAATGTCGGCCAATAGGAATATACTGCCCAGTATTGTGGACAGCATTGCCGTATAGGCTGCCGGCCAGAAGTCGGCCGGCGAACCCAACCACATGAACGGTGTTAGGGATACGCCGACTATCGGTACCCACGAACAGATGCCCAGCTCTTGGACTTTATTCACGTGACTCATCACTTGTTGTAGCAGTTGTGAGGTTAGTATGAGAAATACAACTCCCGTTCCGAATCGGGTAAAGTTCATCGATATAGACACTATAGCACTGGTAGACAAAATAAATAAACAAATGTAAAATATTAGTTAGTATTGGTTTGAGTAGTTAGCATTGATTTTGTTGTTATTGTTGTTGCTAATACCTGCCCCAGTATCCAAAGGCATGATAGCCTATAGTAGCAAATGGTTTACGTGTGAGACCAGATCGATATTTCGGATACCTTTCCTCGAGTATAATCCAAGCTTTTGCCAGACATATACCGGAATATCCAGCATTAGCACAGCACAGGGCTATCAATAGTATTCCAAACCAACCTTTAAAATACAAATTTTTTATATAAATATATTATTCTTAAAAAAAAATTCAATTACAGTATATCTAATCATTTATTGTATTTTGAAGTTTTTTTTAAAAATACAATTACTATAATTTTAATTAATAACATGTAATTGAAAAAAACAAATTAATAAAAATCAAAACATACCGGCGCCCGAGACAGCATGTGGTAATGATAATATACCACCTAACAGATAACAATAGTGATAAAAAAAATAATTTTTTTAAAAAACTAATTAATAAACTAATCAAAATTTTCAATCAAATACATACCGCCAGCAACTTCGCCAATAATAAATACAGTTCCCGTCAGTACTGTTAGATTTCCGTGATGTTTGACCAGACTATTAGAGTCTCTGGTCTCAGATCTGGTGACGGGTACTGATTGGTCGGTCGGTGTGTTTGTAATTTGTGACGATTTTATTGAATTTGATTGACTGTTGATCTAGAGATTGTGAAAGGTTTAGATATTTTAAGATATTTATAAATTATAAAATCAATAATAATATTAATAATTGTACATTTTTAAAAAAAAAATGTATAAAGCTAACTAAATAATTAGATTTTAATTATCAATAGCACACACAAACAAACAAATAAATAATAAAAACTTAATAAAAATTAGATAATTATTGAAATAATAACTTACACGTTCATTCATAATTGGAAAGATAATAAATAATATAAAAAATATTAAATTAAAAAAAACTGTTTAATATGTATAAAGTATATATCATATATATAACAAAATATATATATTGAGTGAAATTATTTTTTATTTGTTGATTATTTATAATAATTATTATATAATTATTATTAGCTATTAGCAATAATTAATTTAGGTAACAAAATAAACTTACTAATAAATAAATAGATATATAGTTAATTATAGAAGTTTGTAAAAAATAATTTATACAAAAAAAAATAATTGTTAAAAATTCATTAAATGAAATTTAAAATAATTGATGAAAAAATTTGCTATTATTCACAATCTATGATGTTATATGATATATATATATATGAAGATATAAATACTGTAATACTAATACATTATAATTGGGATAATTTAATTAAGTTTAATTAAACAACAGCTACAGCCAAATGTAAAAATCAAATTAATTTTTATAGGCTGTTCTATAGTATAGCTTATAACTACTACAGTAGTAGTAGTATTGATATTAATTATGTATTAATACAAGTGTTTAAATGACAAACAAATATGTTTTCATATACTGTACTTAAAAATAATTGCAAAAATTTTAATCAATAATAAAAAGTACCGCCAATTGACAGGTTAGTAGGACTAAACTGATTGACCAAAACAGGCACATAAAAAACATACAACAATATTTAGTGTTTGTTGAGGATAGGTAGGTGTTAATGGGCAAGTCTATCAGTGTCTAACTGTTGAATAAATATTTTTTTTTTAAAAACAAATTTTATTTTATTTCAAAATAATGTATAAATAAAATGTAATGAGTTTGTTGTTGTTGTTTATATATAAAATATATACTAAGTAATAATTATTTTTTAAAAATAAATTTAATTAATTATTTATAAAATATGTTTTTGCCGATCGTCCCGCATAACAGGCCGGTTCCATATGACTCTCTGGATCGGCAAACCAGGTAATGGACGAGTAGGTGGACGCCGCGCCTCCAAATATGCCAACAATGGCTATTTCGGCCAAAATTATTTTCGTATATAACGGTACGTGTCTTAAAAATACAAAATTTAGTTAATTGTACTGATAATTACAGTATTGATAAAAACAAATTGATTACCCCCAACCCATGACACCTACCTGGCCTTAAACTCTCCGTTTGGATCGGCCCGACATAGTTTCAGATAGAAGGCCGGCGGCAATACAAAGGCCATGAGTGTAATGGTTGTGCCGCCTAACAGATCGAGAATCGGTCCAAACGACGGCACCGATAGTCCAGTGAATATCATAGCTGCCATCAGAGCCGTCCTAAATACACAACGTTTCCAATTAAAGACTGTAGTGAATCAATAGTGAAATAAATTTATAAAAAGTTATTTAAAAAATAAATAAATATTAATTATAATTTGATCCATACTTTTCGGTATTTTCAGCATATCTTCCAATTCAAGCAAAACAGGATTAACTATAATAAGAAACGCTGTGTAACAGTGAACCAGAAAGAAACAGTCGATAACAGTGGTCAGTGCCGATTGCGGCAGATTTTGGACAATATTCTCTGCCGTCTGGTCGCCGAATACACCGTAACCGCCGCCAGACACCGGTATATACAACAACAGTAAACCGATAAAGCCGTAGATTACAGCTTTCGGGAATTTATCCTTTTCTTTCATGTCGTTTTGAAAATTAGGAAAAGCACTGGCACCTGGAGATTAGTGATGAATGGAAAGGGTATAGAAAAAAAGGAGACAAATCAATGTCAGTAAATAGCAAACAGTTATTTACCGCCGAAAGCAAACAATATGTTCCCGAAGGCCTTGAAAAAGCTGACAAACGTTGGCATCGGATAATTGGCCGAACTAACCCGATCCTTGGCCTGTAGGCCAATGTCGGCCAAGAGTAATATACTGCCAAGTATTGTGGACAACATTGCCGTATAGGCTGCTGGCCAGAAGTCGGCCGGCGAACCCAACCACATGAACGGTGTTAGGGATACGCCGACTATCGGTACCCACGAACAGATGCCCAGCTCTTGGACTTTATTTACGTGACTCATCACTTGTTGTAGCAGTTGTGAGGTTAGTATGAGAAATACAACTCCCGTTCCGAATCGGGTAAAGTTCATCGATATAGACACGATAGCACTGGTAGACAAAATAAATAAAATATGTAAAATATGTGTTAGTATTGATTTTGTTGTTGTTGTTGTTTCTAATACCTGCCCCAGTTTCCAAAGGCACGGTAGCCGATAGTGGAAAATGGTTTACGTGTGAGACCAGATCGGTATTCTGGATACCTTTCCTCAAGTATAAGCCATGCTTTGGCCAGACATATGCCGGCAAAACCGGCATTAGCACAGCACAGGGCTATCAATGGGACTCCAAACCAACCTTTTTTTAAAAATAGAAATTAAATTAATATATACTTTGTTTATTACATTTTATAAACTTTTACAATTAGTTATTTCATAACAATTTTTATGAATTAAATTACTATCATTTTTTATTTATAACATTTATAATAGTAATAAAATGTAATTTTAAAAAATAATCTATACATACCGGCACCCGATACAGCATGAGGCAATGATAATATACCACCTAGGTGACAATAATAATTTTATCATGTTAGTTTTATTTATTTTAATTATTATATGACATTACACAAAAAAAATATTTTATTATAACAGTTTTATTTAGTATCTAATTTAACAGTTATATTATCATATAAAATAAATATTAGAATTTATTTAAATAATAACAAAAACAATAAATTTGTTGATTAATATTTTTTTAAAAAAAAATTTATCAATAATTATTAAACTAAACTAATAAATCAAATTCAATCATTTAAATTACATACCGCCAGCAACTTCGCCAATAATAAATACAGTTCCCGTCAGTACTGTTAGATTTCCGTGATGTTTGACCAGACTAGACGTGGACTCAGATCTGATTACTGGTAATGAATCGTCGGTCGATATATTGTTAATTTGTGCCGAACTTATTGAATACGATCGACTGTTACTCTAAAAATTTGGTTAGCAATCAAAATCAAATTAATTATAAAATCAAATATTAATTATAAAGTCATATATTAATTATAAAATCAAATATTAGTTATAAAAATAAATATTAATTATATAATTAATTATATTATTTGATAAATTAAAATAATTTTAGTTAGATTTTATTAATTAGATATTAATACAATGACAATGATAATTTTTAGCATAATAAATCAATAACATATATTATATAACATATATTAGCTAAAATAATTTTAACTCACACGTTCATTCATGATTCAGTAAAATAATTATTGAAAAACATAAAAACAATTAATAAAATTGTTTAATATATATATATATATATTAGATGTAATTATTATTTTTTTATGATTATTGTATAATAGTTATAACAATACAGAAATATGAAAATTATTAATATCAATAATTATAATTTTAGTTAACAACAACTTAATATCGTAAACACATAATTAAAATAATATTATTTGTACATATGTTTAAACATGTAGACAATGAAAATTAATATAATTGATGAATAAATAATATATATATATTTGCTAACAGTCACATAACAAATAAAAATAGTAAAAAAATAAATAAACAATAAATAATTATGAACAATGTTTATAGATTATTATAATTTTTTAAAACTAATATATGATTTTATTAGCATTAGTAGTAACCTGTAAATGATGAGTATATTATATATATATATATATATATATTTTATTATATTAATTAATTAATGTTTATCACAATATCACAATTGATATTTTGTTATCACTTTTAAAAAAAAATGTATTGCATCACTAGATCATGCTTTTCACTCATATTTTTAATGATAAAATAACAATATAATTAATAACTCGTTTATTTAGACAACTAATTTATAGTTTATCTAATCAAAAAAAAATAGCGCAACACAATTAATAATTTATAGGTAAATTAAATATATAAATTATATATATATATATGTATACATATATTGTTTTGAAGTTCATTAAACAGTCAGTATTTTTATATACCTTTATAATATATAGCCAGCGATAAAAATATTGATAATAATTAAAAAAAAACTATAATAACTATAAAATTTATTTGATATTTTGATAATATTGAAATATTTAAAAAAAAAATTCAAAAATACACAAACTATTTTTTTAAGATCCTAAATTTCAATCAATTAGTATATACAAAATTATTTGCTGTTAATATCACAATAAATATATATAATACAATAATTATTATTAATTATTATTTGCCATTATAATATATGCAAATAACATTAATAAGATTCAAATATTTTATGATAATATTTTTTTATAACATTGATTATTAAGCAGAAAATTGTGAATTTTCTAATTTTTTTTTTAATTGCATATATAAAGAAAACTAATAATATAAATATATTTTTATAAATGAAAATAAATGAAAATAAATGAAAATAATTAATTTATAAAAATTAATATATTACTTAATGTAAATAAATACAAACTAAAATAATTATCTGTTTCTAATTTAAAAAATTAACATTAATTATTTGTGTAATTTATTATTTTCAAACCAAATAATAATAATAATAATGTTAATGATACGACAAATTATTAATTATTTTTTCAAATTAATTAACTTATTAATTAATAGTTATAAAATATAAATAAATGTAAAATTATTTATTATTTCAAAAAATATATTGAATATATTTGTTTAGTACCTAAAAAAGTACTGATTTATTTTCATCAAAACATATGTCCCCAAATAGAAGTACAAATATTAATTAATTATATAAAATATTTTAATAATAAAACAATAAATAAAAATCCAAATAACTTTGACATATTTATACTGTAAAGTATTTTTATTGATCAAACAATAAATAAATATTAATTATAACATAAATATTAAAAAGATACTATATTATATTTTGAACTAATTTTGATTTTTGTTATTTTTATATATCATTGATTTATACTATGATTGCCAATTGTTTAATTTGTTTATGCCGGATTATATAATAAAACTAATAAATTGTTTGTCATCACTAAATATAGCAAAGTAATTGATATACTGTATATAAAAAATAATATTTATATAAATAAATAAAAACACTACATAGTAATCAAAGTAATTATTTGACACATATATGATAGTATAGATAATTAAAAAAAAAATTGAAACATTTATTAATTTCAAAACATTTCAAACATTTATACAATTGATACAAACAGTAATACTATATTTAATAAATTTTGTAATTAATTTAAATTGTAAAGGTTCTTTTTTTTAAAAAAAATTTAAATTTAGAAACTCTAGTATTAATCTCTAATATTAATTTTTCATAACAATAATTGTTAAAGTATTTCTAGTAATTATTTTTGATAATAAGTCAATAAATTTTTTAATTAAATTAATATACTATTAAACTGTTTAATATAATCGTTATTATCAGTTAAGTTATTAAAGGTAACAACATATCACTGTTGACTAGGATTTACACTTCAATTATTAAACAGTATATATATATACTGTATATACATAATAGCAATTATAATCAATAGTAAATGAATTTTATCGCTAATATAATTCACAATATTTATGTACTGTGTATTAATAAATCAGTTAATTGTTTTTTATTTGTTATCAATTACACAAAAAAAAACAATATTAAATACAAACATTTTGTGATCAATTGTTTAGAGCATTAGTCCTAAAGTTAGGTACATTTTTTGTGTTAGTTTATATGGTTTTTGAACTTTTGAAATAAAATTTATGAACATTTAATAATTTTAATTAGTAATTAATTTTTATTTTATTTTATTAAAACAAAACTTTATTAATTATATTATACTAGCATTGAATATAACAACCATGTTTAATATAAATACTTTAAAATATCAGTAAATTTTTTTAAATAAAATTTAATTTATGTAATGGCAAACATGATATACTAATAAAAATCACTAATAAAAATAAAAGAAAATAAAACAAATAAACAAAAAATTATTAAATTTTCTTTTAATGAGTTTAAATATATAAAATATTTTAGACAACTCTAATAAAATACTAATTACTATTTTGATTACTAAATTATTTATTAAATTATATGATTAAATTAAATTAAATTGAAAACAATTGAAAAATAAATTCTAATAATTTTTTTTTGTTTAATTTTCAAATTAAATTGTTTTATTGTTAGCAAAATTCAAATTCATTTAGTGGTAAGTAAAGTGTGAAGACATGACTGACAGCAACAGTGTTGACAACTCGACAACAGCTCAAACATCGGCGGCGACGATGACGACAGCAACGGTGGCCACTGATGACAATAGACAACAACAGATACAAACAGGAGAACCACCACAACAACAGCCTAACAATCAGGTTGTCCAACAACAACAACAGCCACCGCCAGAAGGACAGGTAGTCAACAATGCAGTCAATGGTCAACAACAACAACAGGCCGCCGACGTGTGTCCTGTTTGTCACGACGCCATCCAGAACCCGGCCCGACCCGACGGCTGTCGACACATGCATTGTTTAAGATGTCTGCATCAGTGGTCAACCGGTCACAATCGGTGTTCCGTATGTCGGCAACCGTATGAAAATATACGCTATCACATTGTCGATGACGAACACTTCGAACAGTTACCTATTCGGTATAGGGAACAACCAGTTGAACAGATGTTTGAACCGATTAGGATTCCGATGATGGCTCCAGAAGCCAGAAGACCAGGTGAAAGACATCGGTCACGGTATATGAATCGTCGGCGAGCGGCCAGAGCCAACCGATACGAACGCCAGGGCGACCGTTTTGAACGACAGGCCGAACGGTTTGTGCGCCGGGCCCGCAATCTTAGACGATTAGCTCAAGTGGCCGAAAAACAGGCTGAGGTACGCCAGAGACGAGCTCGAAGACGCCGTCTTTTTGCCCAAAGGGTTAGAAATAGAGAGGTGTGAGTGGGAAGGGAGGGGGTGATGATGAGTGTGTTTAGGGGGGGGGTGGGTGTGGGGACAGCATATTAGAGATCAACAACAAGTGTCTGAGTATATAGTGTTGAAAGTAGTATTTGAAAATTTTTAAACCAAAAAATAAAATTATAATTCACTAAAAAAAAGTTGTTTAAAAATTTGTTAATTTATATTTATACTAATCTTTATCATTATTCTATCAATTAGTAAATCAAAAATCATATTAGGTTTTTAGATTAATATTGTTTTTATATGTTATACCATTATATTGATAATACCCTTAGTTTGGGGGTTAGGTGGTGGGGTGTGTGAGGTTAGGAAGTGGTGATGGGATGGAATGGAGTGGGAGTTAGGATGTGGTGAAAGCTATGGGTGGTTTGCAATGTTTTATATGTATTTATATTAGTATTTGTTTTTTTAATTGAATAAATTTAGTTCATTTCATGAGCTAATAGTTAAATCAAATGCATTTAATACAGTGTTTTATTGAGTAAAACAAACATTTGTACACAAGTTATTTTAAAAATATTAGTATTAATATCTAAATATTTTATTTATTTTATTTTTAGGAGTCAATATTGATATGATTTTATCATTGAATTATGTTTTTTTGTGTAGTTTTGAAAAAAAAGTTTATTTAAAAATATTTTTTTTAGATAAATTTCTAAACTTTACTGTCTATATTACTGGAGTTTTTAAATACATTATAAAATTAATGAAAATAAAATTTTTAAAAAATACATAAATACACACAAATTTAATATGGAAATGAGCTAGAACAAAATAATTTATGTATGATTATAAAACTATAATAATATGAATTTGATTAATGTAATATATAAATATTTTTTAAATTGTAGACTAAATTAAACTATTAATTAATAGCTGTATATACCTGTATATACATTATTTAATAGACAGGGACGGGTAGTAGGCATAAACCTAAACCAACAGGATTTAATTATGACATACAGTAAATTATAATGTTATTGTTTTATTATAATAGTTTTTCTATTGCTTATATTATTGCACGTGTCTTAATACGAGTGTTTAATATCTCGCACGTAATATACAGATATACAGATCATTGGTATTGTTATGAATAAAATATATAGTTTTTTTCAAAAAAAAAACACATTTAACTGATTTATTAGATTTTCAAACAGTTAGAAACACACAAAAAATAAAAGGACAGTTATTTTCAACACTTAAAGACAAAAATATTTACATTTTAGACCGACAACACATTTATATTAATCTGATATTATACGTGTCATATAATCATTAAATAATATGTTAGTAAACCATCGATCGGTTGTATTGGTGTCGGTGCTGATGTTGACAACGGTTTTGATCAATCACTCGATGTATGGTTACGATGACTGGTGTTCGCAAATGGGAGTCACTATTAAGGACTACAATGTGTTTAACTTCAGAAACTATGCAATAGTTGCCATCGATTACGGCCTGACATTGGATTATTGGTCAATATATGATGGACATCCGGGTCAGCCAAAGAAAATCACATTAATGGATGGCAGCGTCGATATCGGTATTTATAGTCTCTCTGTCTCTCTCTCTGTCTCTCTCTCTGTCTCTCTCTGTCTCTCTCTGTCTCTCTCTGTCTCTCTCTGTCTCTCTCTGTCTCTCTCTGTCTCTCTCTGTCTCTCTCTGTCTCTCTCTGTCTCTCTCTGTCTCTCTCTGTCTCTCTCTGTCTCTCTCTGTCTCTCTCTGTCTCTCTCTGTCTCTCTCTGTCTCTCTCTCTGTCTCTCTCTGTCTCTCTCTGTCTCTCTCTGTCTCTCTCTGTCTCTCTCTGTCTCTCTCTGTCTCTCTCTGTCTCTCTCTGTCTCTCTCTGTCTCTCTCTGTCTCTCTCTGTCTCTCTCTGTCTCTCTCTGTCTCTCTCTGTCTCTCTCTGTCTCTCTCTGTCTCTCTCTCTCTCTCTCTCTGACTCTCTTAACTCTATTATATTATTGTGTGTCTGTCCTGTTGTTGAATCCAATTGATCCATCAATAATGATCAACAGATCAATACTGGAACACTTTATTCAGTTCGGTTAAGTATTCAATTACTTTCTGGTCGCCTCCGTGTCCCGACCCGACTGCCGGCGATGTCAGCTACTGTAACATTCATCGCCCTTTGCTCGACTCACTGGTGGTAATCGGTGGAAAAGCCAAGTTCAACGATTCACTGAGGACAACGTTTATGTCTTTCCATTATAAACTATTGGATGGCAATTCATCTGGAGTTAGTGGTCCAACAAATCCCGATATTGAACAGGTGACCAGCGAACAGAGTATGCCGTTCTACTGGTATAGCTTTGGCAGCGAAAAAATGCTGGCCGAAGTCGGCTCACTAAACAGTGCTATCTTTCCCGTACTGCCGGACGGCTATGAATATCGATCGGCTGCGTGGCTAACACTTACGGGGTCGGGTGCCAACAGCACACAGCGCGGCCTACAGTGTGTCCTATTGTTGGAAACCAAAAATCCGAAACAATTCCAGCTTATGTATCGCTATCATGTGATGGACCGCAGTTTGGATCCGCCCTATTGGACTAAATGGCAACAAAGTACAGCCAATGTCGGCGAACCGTTGACAGTACTGTTCGCACTGAACAATACCATCTATGCGTTGGGCCCGACAACGATGCTCAAGTCGACCAATGTTTACGCTGCTATTGACGGCGATCCTAACAAATTCAAACTTATATATGTAAGTGGGCTTATCGGTGGCTTATCAATCAAATTTATGGACAACTGTTTTACTAAATGTTTTATTTGTTTTTTTTTAAAGAACGACTTTATCAACTTTATCGGCCAGTGTCGGGCAACTCCTTCGACAGAGACACCATTGGACACAACAACAACAACAACAAAGTCAGCCAATGACAGTGGCCAGACATCGCCGACAATGACAATAACGACCACCACTACTACTAAAGACTCGGACGACTCTCTAAATCAACTATTCGTTGTGATTGTTGTCTCTGTCATTGTATTAGTGATAATCTGTTGTCTGGTATTGTTTGGTATATTGGGTTACATGAAAATACAAAGTAATTGTCAAACAAATAATAGATAAATTTTATTTTATTTTTGAGACCAAACTTTTGATATTTGTTTTTTTTTTAAAAATATATATATATAAACAAAAATAGAAAATAAAAGAAAACACGACTTCAGTGGTAAGACTCAGAAATTGGTGTCGACATCGAAATATGGTTCAAACAAAAGGCAAAAACAAAATAAAAAACAATTGCAAAGAACATTGAGCTCCGGTATGGAGAAAACAGCCAGGTCTGATGATCAACCAAATGATTAGGATTTTTTTTAATTAGTTTTTTTTTTGTTTGTTTAAACGGAAAATCTATTTTGTTGTTGTTTTTTTTCATTTTTATAGTTATACAGTTATATACCGTATATTATATTTTTTTATTATTAAACTATTATATTCACTATATTTATATAAATAGTTTTTTTTAAATTAGAAAAATACTACTGTATACATATTTTTGTTGTTAAATTAATTTATTTAATCTAAATTGTTATCTTTATAATATCTAATATACAAATAAAATCTTTAATTTATTTAAATTAAAATTGACAACTTTTTTTTATCTAAATAATTATAATTTTATGAATAGTTAATAAACAAAATTTAACTTATATATAGCTTCTCATAATAATCTAATAAATCGATTGAAATATAATATTTTGTAACTATTATGAAAATAATAATGAATTACAAATAATGTGTTTATTATTAAATTATGCAAAAAAAACTTTTTTAGTTAATTATATAAAAAATTAACTAAAAAACAATTTAAAAATATAATTTATTTTTGTTTTGTTTAATTTTCAAATTAATTTGTTGTATAGTTTTTAAAAAAAATAAAATAATCAATTGTTTGTTTTCAAATAAACACAAAAAATTTGTAAATTTTTTGGTCATTTAGGTATACAATGGTAAGTAAAGTGTGAAGACATGACTGACAAAAACGACAGAAACAGTGTTAACAACTCGACAACAGCTCAAACATCGGCGGCGACGACAACGGCGGCCACTGATGACAATAGACAACAACAGATACAAACAGGAGAACCACCACAACAACAGCCTAACAATCAGGTTGTCCAACAACAACAACAACAGCCACCGCCAGAAGGACAGGTACTCAACAATGCAGTCAATGGTCAACAACAACAACAGGCCGCCGACGTGTGTCCTGTTTGTCACGACGCCATCCGCAACCCGGCCCGACCCGACGGTTGTCGACACATGCATTGTTTATTGTGTTTGCACCAGTGGTCAGTCGGTCACAACCGATGTTCTGTATGTCGGCAACCGTATCAAAATATACGCTTTCACATTGTCGACGATGAACACTACGAGCAGCTACCTGTTCGCCATAGGGAACAACCGGATGGTATTGGATTACATCCGGATGTGATGTTTCAGCCGATTCCACTTTTGGCTCAAGAAGAAGGAGGAGGAGGAGGACAACCAAGAGAAAGACATCGGTCACGTTATATGAATATTCGGCGAGCGGAGAGAGCCAACCGATACGAACGCCAGGGCGACCGTTTTGAACGACAGGCCGATCGGTTTGAGCGCCGGGCCCGCAATTTGAGACAACAGGCTCAAGTAGCCGAACGAAAGGCTCAGGTACGCCGACGACGAGCTCGAAGACGCCGAGATTTTGCCCATAAAGTTAGAACCAGACGGGCGTAAGTAGGGACGGGAGGGGACAACAGGTGGATGTTGAGTGTGTTCAGGGGGTGGGGGGACAGCATATTAGACTAGTCGACAGCAAGTGTGTGTATAAATATATTATGTGTTGTCAAGTGTTTACAGAAAGGAGAGTTTAGTTACTAAGAGTGAAGTAGTCGTGTTTGAAAATTTGTAAACCAAAAAATAAAATAATAATAATTCACTAAAAAAAGTTGTCTAAAAATTTCTTACCTTTTTTTTTGCTAGTCTTCAACATTATTTTTCATTCAATTTTTTTTATATAAACTTCACAATTAATGTAATTATTTAAACAAACAAAAAATAGGAGATGCAAGTAGATGGACAGTCGTATTTTATAAAAATGCATAACAACGAAAAAAAGCTAATCATAAAAAATAGTTTTATTTTATTAGTAACTTAAAAATTCAGACATATTTTTTAATTTTCAAAAAATTTAAATTTTATTAGGGACAGGAAGGGATTTATAAGGGGGGAGCTATAACAAGTAGTACCGGTATTTAAATTTATTTCTATTATATGTAACTTTATTATTATTTAATTATTAGATGAGAAACAATTAAATGTTTTTTTTAAAACTTTATTATATAAAAATTTATTGTTTAAATTATTTTCTAACATAAAAAATAATAATTTTTAGAAAAAAATATTCAAAATTATTTTAAAAGACAACAATACTGTTACCAAAGTGTTGACACTCGACAGTACAACCATCCGTTCAAAGGATAGTAGTTTTACAACAACTACAGTAAGATAGCCATATGGCTGACAATGTTGAGAACAGACAACAACAACAACAACAACTGGCTAATCAAGTCGATGGTGGTCAACAACAACCACCGGAAGCTCAGGCAAACGACAACAATGAGGACAATCAGCAACAGCAACAACAGGCCATTCCCGTCGATCATCAGCAGCAGCAACAACAACAGCCACTGGATCCGGAGGTTGCCATTAATATTGTCGAAAGATTTAATCCAGAAGTCGGCGATTTTGTACCAATAAGACCCGATGAACCCATGATCGGACTGTTACCCATGAACAGAGGTCCGCGACGCAGACAGTTGACACGCGGCGCAGTCAGACATCTGATGGCCAAAGCCAGACGATTGGAGCGCAAGTCTCGCCGTTTCGATCGCGAGGCCGACCGGTTTATTCGTCGTCAGCGACACTTACAGCGGTTGGCCGATGTTGCCAGCAATCAGGCAGACGTTCGCCGCCGGCGGTCTCATAGATATCATTTACGGGCGGCAAGAATCAGGGATAGAGTGATGAGATAGTCTATGAGTGATGGTCAGGGAGATTGGACTGATGTTATCAATATGCGAGACAGCTGTGTAGGTGTAGGTGTGTGTATATAATATATATATGTATATAAAGTGTATATTAAAATATATGATACAATAAATAGATAAATACAATGCCATAAAATTTACATATTAGAAAAAAATTATAGTAAATTTTATACCACATTTTATGGTCAAAAAATTACTATTAATTTTTAAAAAATATTTTGTGGGTTAGGTAGCAAAAAAAATAATAGTTACAAAAAAATAACATTTATATTCAGGTATAATTTAATTTTTATTATTACCGGTTTTATTATTATTATTAATCACGCGCTTAATATGTGTTTTAAAAACTTTTTAAACATTTAACGGTATAATTAGCTAACAAATCATTTAACGGTTTTTTTTAATTAAGACTAAGATATTCATTAAGCAGTTGAAGCAATCAATCAATCAAATCATATAAAGTAAATCAAATTTTAATCCACAATTTAGTTAAGAGTTGAGAGACAACTATCTGTTTAAAAGACATGATCGACAACAAAGACATGATCGACGACAAGGACATCAACACCGACACCAACAACAACAGCAAAGTTGACGGCAATGCAGATGAAGAAAAAAAAGACAGCAATGGTTCTGCAAGTAGTAGTAGTAGTTGTAGTAATAATAGTTCATCACTTCCTCCTCCTTCTTCTTCTCCACCACTACGTCGTCGTAGACAAAGACGTCTTACACGAACAGTGATTAGACGGCGAAAAGCCAAAGCCCGCCAATTGGACCAAAAGGCTGCCCGTGCGGACCGCGAGGCCGAACAGTTTGTCCGCCATCGGGGACATCTCGAACGATTGGCCCGTCAGGCCGGCGATCAGGTTCAGGTGCGCCGCCAGCGTGCACTCAGATATCGGAAGTCAGCCCAACAAATGAGAGATAAATGGGAAAAATGAGTGATTATGCTGAGGAGGGGGTTGGTGGTAGTGATGGTGTCTAATGTGATGGACGGGTAGTATAGGGGATAGTAGTAGTAGTAGTGTCGGTGTGTTTGTTGTGTAATGTATGTCTCACTCTCTATCTCTCTCTCTAATGAAGATATTTATGTTTATTGTTTGACACAAACACAGACACAAAATTGTTGTTTTGAAATATTATTAGAAACCAAATTAATTAAAAACAGAAAAGTTAACAAAAGTTTTTATAAAATGTTTTTATTTATTTGTATATTTTTTTCGGGTAATAACTGTATAAACTATTAACAATATAACTACAAAAAAAAACAGCACTAAAAAAACTCTGGGATAAATAAATTTAGTCCTAAATAATAGCCTATTATTACAAATGTATAGTAATTGTCATATTTAATTATTTAGTGTAATGTAAGTAAATGTAGTATAGATACGAGTAGTCGATATGCAAACAAACAAATATTTAAAAAAAAATTATAAATAAATAAAATAATATAAATAAGTTCATATTTAAACATAATATTGTTTTAAAAAATACCTAAAATTTATAACGTTTTGGTACTGTAATAAACTAGTCTAAAAAAAATTTAAACACAAAAAAACAAAAATGAACCAAGTTCAATTACACAAATTGAACTTGGTTCACCCTTGCAAGCTATGCTAAAAGTTTGAAATTAATAAACTAACAAAAATAAAGTATACATAAAAACAATATATTTTTTTAAAAAATAAAAACTTTTTTATATACAAAAACTAACTAATCATTAAAGCATTAATGATTGGCTTAATAGTCGATCACGTGATTCGCAAATGTTTTTTTTACATTAATGTTATTATAAATACTGTATATATTTTATGTAATGATTCAAAAAAAAAACTAAACTAAAAACTAAAATAAAATTTTTGGTTTTTTAAGTGTCAAAAACTACTGTAAATTATATGTCATATGTTTTAGTTATTTACTGCTAAATACTGTATAATAATAATACCATTACTACTAGTTTTTAGACAATAGTCTAACTTAAGTGTTATTCAACCGTCAAGTTATATATATATACCCGTATTTGTGGCCATCACTGACCATCACTGATCCAATAACCTAACCATGTTTTGTCTACCGTTTTGCGTGTCCTGCGAAACAATGTTAACACTGATGCCCGGACTGTTGGCCATGTTTTGGCCAGTAGTGGTGGCAGTGTTTGGAGCCGAAACACTGATGCGCCAGTCGTTAATCATTTGTCTGTACTTTGTGGTCAGCGATATGTTCGGACAGTTTTGGTCGAAAACTTTTCGGGTAAGTACTACCGCTATAGCGTAGTAATTGTGTGTGTATTTTACCGAAATGTTATCCCATTACCCGCATAGACCGATTACCGTGCGGTCGCACCGGCCGTAAACCTTGTCATACTGTTGACACTGTTTGGCCAGTCGTATGTTCGCACACCCGGTCTGATCATAACAGTGTGCGGTTTTTTGGTCACCAATTTGGCTCCGGTTATACTATGGATCGAAGTACGCCAATCGGTTAAGTTGGTCACCAATTTTGGCCAATATATGGCCCAAGAGATTAGCTCCGCCGACGACGACGATGACAGTGATAGCAATTTGCCGTCGAAACAATTTATCCTAAAGTGTGCCGTTTTGGCCGCAACAGTGGCCAGTCATGTCTTAGGCTTTGTGTTGATCGGATGGGCGCTGACCAGTGCCCGGACTCTATTGTTTACTTAGTAAGTTATAACTGCTTAAACAAAATTACCGATAGTTTTGTTACCATTTTTAAAAAAAAATATATATAACCTTATAATTATAATCGGCTAATAGTGCGGCCATAATATTGGTGTGCTTTCAATTGGTTCAACTGGTGGTCACCTATTTTGTTGAAGATGGTATATATGCGTACAGTTATTATTATTATTATAATGTTTACCCGATTTTGTTGTGGTTATCATTTAATTTGTTGTCAATTCACGGTTACGGTAGGTATTATCTCTGATCCGGCACTAGTATTTGTGATGTCGTGTTTTGCACTCTACCTGTCCGTCTACGAGGACAACATCAAGACTAATATCAACGCCAAGTAAGTCATAACAAATTATTATTTTTTTTAATTATTTATTTTTCAAACATTTTTCGCGGCATTTATTTATTTTTCAAAAAAAAAAACGGTTAACAAATTTCTTATACACAAAACAACAAACAAAACTTTACGCTTACCGTAAAAAAATAATAATACCCGGGGTAATTACCGGTAGCCATAAAAAACTAGAGCTCAGTTTGCTTTTTTTTAATATACCACCCTATCCTCTATCTAACTGATCTAACACATGTTTGTGTGTGTGGGTGGGTGTGTAACAAATGAGAGATCAGATCTCAGATCTACCGAAATTTTATTTTACAAAACCAAACAATCAAACAAAAACCAATTACGGTATTTGTTTGTTTGATTACCGGTTCATCTCTAATGATGGCCATATGTTGATGACCTAAAGTCGACAATTTCACGTTTAGTGTACGAACTCTTTTTGTATGATGATTGGGAACGATTGGATGACGATTGTCGATCGGGTGATGATAGTGGCCGACGTCGATGTCTGTCACGGCTACGGCTACGTGATCTGCGGCTGTTTTTAGTCCTGCGTGTCCTACTAGTGCCACTACTACTACTACTACTACTACTACTACTACTGCTATCACTAGTACTACTACTACTGCTGCTTGATTTACGGCGTTTTCGGTCACGACTACCGCGTGATTTTCGGCGGCTTCGGTCACTGCTTCGTGATTTACGATCACTATTACGTGATTTTCGGTCAGCGCTTCGTGATTTAGGTTCACGACTATTACCGGGTGATGATCCCAGACGATGACGACCACCACGATTTCGGTCACTATTTTTACCATCTTTTTTGTCTTCATCGACACCTTTGCTATTAGAGATCGTCGCTGTTGTTGTTGTCGTCCGCAACGGCGATGACCGCATCTGTTCGTTGACAGCGAGTATCTGTTCGACCAATTCGTCGATATCTTCTTTCTTGAACTGATCGTCAAACGTTTCGTTCCACGGAAGCAGTGTTTCGTCATTGTCTGGGATCCGGTAGTCGAGTGTCCGCAGCGACAGCTCGATGACGGCTATGGCTATATGATTGGGCCGCCAGTCTAGCGATCGCGACTCGAAACACAAATAGTCTCTCATTATTGGCCAACAGCTTGTATCGAGTCGGGCAGCCATAGGTTGGTCGCGAATCAAATTGCCGATTGACCGCAAATACTTATGAAGATAACGGTGCGGCAAATTGGTGTCCACTTTGAAACGTAACATCCGTACCAATAGTAGCTCGCAGTCGATGATCGACTCTTTCAAACTTTGCCATAGTTTAATGTTTTTGATTTCCGACTGACCGCCGCCGCCGGTGTTGTGGTGGACGGTCTGGTAGAAAGTTTGAATAATGTCCCGCAACTTGATATGAGTTTCGGTAACTTTGCTCGATAGATAGACTGAGGCAGCGGCCATCAGATAGAGATCGTAGTGACGGTAATCGAAGTGACGGCCAAATCGGTGAATGTATTGACAGGCCAGGCATATGGTTTCCGAGTTGGCCGACAATTGCATACCGCTTGTGACCAGCACTTTGATGGCCGATCGGTAGACAGCGTCCGATGACGAATGGCCACTCATTTTTTTCGTTACTGGTCGAACCCGTCGGGTGTGTTATGTGTGTGTGTGTGTGTGTGTGTTTGGCTTCTAATCGGATTTGATTTGTTGGCCAGAATAGTACCGATCGGCTATCGGCTATGTCCTCAATGTTATGTTTGTTTGGCTAATATTTGTAATACTATTGCATTGAAAATGAATAACGTTTTCAAACTATACAATCAATTAGTATGTTATTGTCCAGTGATTTGTTTGTATAAATATTGACGTTATTTATTTAAACTATATATTTGTTACTATCTATGTGTTTAATATCTGTGAGGCACAGGTAGATGTCGTATAGAGTACCAGTGCTTTAGTAATAATAATAATAACATACGAGTGCTATAACAATACAGTACAGAATATTCTGATGGTATACTACTACTTGTATAGCTATGGATTGTTTTTTGTTGTTGTATTTAACTATATTTAACTAATAGTTAATAATTAGTTAAGTTATTATATACAATGTTTTTAAAACACTTATATATTATATATAATTGATTTCATTATTATTTTTAAAAAATGTTTTTATTAATATATTTATGTAAAATATTTTCACATTTATTTTATTTTATTTGGTTGCGATTGATGTTTGATTTGAACCTATATTTTCAGACAACTTACAAAACTCTATATAGTTTTCTGTGAATTTTATTTTATTTTTTGAAAAATTATTTTAATTTTATTTGGATATTACAATTGTTTAGTCACACATAATTTAAATTATTTAATTAAATAAATTAATATTTATATATATATATAGTATTTGATAAAATTAAATAAAACTATGAAATGATATTAAATTTTATTAGTTATTTTAAGTGTTTAACGGTATTTATTATATATTAGAAAAATTAGTATAAATTTTATTTGTTTTTATGGATAATTTACTGTTTAACAAAAACTATGCATATAATAATAATAATATGATTTATTTAATGCCTCATATAAATTGTGTATATATTAATATAGTATCAAAGTTTGATAAAAAAAACTAATGTAAATATATTTAATTATTATATTTGTATGGATGGATGAATGTATGTCTATATACAGTATAAATATATATTTATATAACTAATTACATTAAATCTTAAAAGTCAAGAAAATAAGATTACTTATGGCTTTATATTATATCATATAAACTGTGATATTTGCACTAATATTGAGTGCCTTTTCCGCTGACAAACTCATAATTACAGACTGTTTGAACACTTATACCCATCCAATACAATATTCATACAGTGTGTGTGTGTGTATGTATGTATGTATGTATTTATATACTGTACCACAAAACATACAAAAATCGCTAAAGACGACTGTCTATCCCTAAGCGCCCATATAAGAGATCCGACTGTTCCCTATAATAAGAAATATACAGTTATACCGGAATCTCTCTCTCTCTCTCTCTCTCTCTCTCTCTCTCTCTCAATATATATATGGTTTAGGCCTTTGAGAGTGTGTATATATACGGATATATATACAGTGTCTAATAAAAATGCGATAATATTTTCCTATTTATATATATTTATATTCTTATGGTCCATATTTTAGGCTAAAATATAGGCCTATTTTTTATGAGAGACAGATCTGCATTTAACAGTACTTCTAGTTTATCCAATATATCCGAAAGCTGTATATGTATGCTATAATGTATAGCTATTTACTTATTTAAACTTATATATATATATACCGTATCTCCTATTTAAGCCAAACACACACACACACACACACAACAAATATACATATAAGTCTCATTCAATTGTCACTTAATATTTTTTTTGTTTATAAAAAACCAATGTTTTTTATCACTATATTTTTAAAGAGGAATTTAAAATTGTTTTATTGTGTGTCTGTTTCTATATATATATATTTGTTTATATACAGTATAATAATAATTTAAATATAAATATATTTTGTGTGAGTGAGTGAGTGAGTGAGTGTGTTTGTGATAAATATCTGATAAACTGATATATCATATTATTTTTTTATTTATAAATTTATATAATATTTCAAATATTTGAAATATTTTTTGTTGTTGTTGTTACTAACATTAGTCTCTTAACTGTATATTTTTTGATACAATTTAATACAGTTTTGTTTAAATCAGTTATTTTTTTTAATTACAATTTAAAATTTATTTGCTATATGTTTTTTTTTGTGCGCTAATAATAGCTTTACAGTATAATAAAGTTAAGATAATATAAAGGAATATAAATTATTATTTCTAATTGAATTTATATATAAATTTATACATAAACATGTATATATATAAATTGATTGATATATAAAGCAACAACAACATGAAAAAACTAAACTAATTGTTATATAAATATAGAAACAATTTATAATTTTTCATGACTTGTACTTTATATTTATATGTTGACATAGCATTCAAGTCATGAATGTTTTTTTCTCTCTCTCTCTCTCTCACACACAAGTAATTAAATTATCTACCAGTGCTCACACACACACTAACATAAACTAATAGGTCTCTGTCCTCTCTGATCTCATAACAAATTAATCAGTAATTTGTTTAAATGCTTTCTCATCACTCTTTCAAATGATAACCTTAACTATCAACACACAGATATAACATCTCTATGAAAACAATTATAAGTACAGTATATAAATCAAACATTAAAATTGAGATATAATTTTTTTAAATGATGATTCAATAATTAGTTATATTTTATTGATAGAAAAAATATTATAATTACTACTAACTTTAATATAACTATAATTATTATTATTAATTTTCACTTTGCTTATATTAGTTTTTTTTAATGTTTTAAATATTTTTTATATATACTAATATGTTTAATAAAATACTTAATAATAATTTAATTTTAAATCAATCAATCAATATATATATTGTATCATCAATTTATAAAAAATTAATAAATCAATTTCAATGTCTGATCTACACTATATGTCTGAATTAATTATTCGTTATATATATATAATACGACAAATTGCTGTTTATTGTTGTGTTTTATTTTTTTCAGTTGTAATTTTTTTTATTATGTATCACATGTTTGAACCAATTTGTTAAATCAGTCGTCACCCGATTCCGTCACTTACCCGCTCTCTCTCTCTCTCTCTCTCTCTCTCTCTCTCACACACACACACACACACACACACACTTTGACTCTAATTTAGTTAACTGATTGAGCGATAGGCCATCTCCTCTCTCTCTCTCCCTTTCCATCCCAACACTTACTTACTTTTTTTCACTCATTAATTGGTTTAGTAATGTATTTTTCGTGTCCTGACTTTACTATTTATAACAACAGCAACACAATATACTGTACCGTATTTACGGCAATATTATTATTATTTGCTAATCAAACCTACGACACACTAATTCACATATTTATTTCATTTAGTATTCAAACATATAGTAAATATGTTTAGTGTCTTTATGTATGTGTAATGTAATGACTTTCCGACACTAACAGCTTTTCTAGTTAGTTATGTATGGTTTTTTGGGGTAGGGGTTAGGGGGGAAGGCTAACCTATTTGCACTTGACGTTTACATAATGATCCCAAACTTTAACGATACTTTATTTACCGTTATATTTATTAATTATTTATTATGAATTGAAAAATTATTTTATAATTTTTTTGTGTGTATATGTCAAAATTATATTAATTAACTAACTTAAACAATTTTATAAATTGAAATTAATTATCTAACTATAACAACTATTTATTATAAATATTGAATATACATTATTATTATTATTATTTATCTACTATATTAATCAATAAAGTTTTTATAAAAAAAATTATTATCTCATAATTTATTAACTTTACACGCGGTATGAATGGTATTGAAAGTTTTGTGAAAAATTAAAAATCACTTTTTAATATATGTGTATATAAATTATATATTTTTGATTAATTAAACGCCTATTTTTCTAAAAAATAAAATAAATATAAATATATGGTGTTCAAAAATAATACTACTAATAATGGGCAATACAATTGATTTATTACCAGTGAATTTATATTTTAATTTATGGCATTTATTGTATATATAAATTTATAGCTAATATATATACCGTATATACATGTATATGACATTCTCTCAGCTATAGCCCGGTGCTCGCGATACGTGATCAGCAATTTTTGTATTATACTATAAGTTATATATTATATATAAGTTTTCCGATACTAGAGTTTTACTAAACAGTGATTTATGTTTTTTAATGTGTTTGAGAAATCTTTTGGAAACTTTATATATATATTTTAGATATAACTTTTTTTTTAATAACAAACGGCAACTTTTATAATAACAAGAAAATGTGTGTAAATTTTTCTAATATAGATATAATCTATCGCACAATTAGACACATTTTTAAAAAAAATAACCTAATATTTATGATATCGACATTTCGTGTTTAGTTTTTTAAATTGTTTATTAAGATTATTAAAATAAATTAAATTATACATTGTATTATACTGTACATTATATTTAATAATATGTATTTTATAAAATTTAAAATATGTTATTTTTTTGAAAAGTTAAAGTTGAATACAATATACTCTTTCATAAAAATTATTTAAAATATATACAAATGTGAATACGAGTATAAATATATTATTATATGTTATTTCATGCATTAGTTTCAAATATTTTTAATAAAGCAAGTTTTAGTGTTAAAAAGGCTATTTGTTAGTTACACATTGACACACACACACACACACACATACTTTACACAGTTATTGCTTTTACAAACTAAATGTTATGCATATATATATATATATATATATATATATATATATATATACTGTATATATTCATTCATAGCAATTCATCGGGAAATGTATTTTTAAAAGGCATATACACACAAACTTTTATGCCAATGGATATATTTGTAGAAAATGTTTGTATATATAATATTTTTCGTCAATGGTGAGGAACAGTAGTTATTTGTTGTCTGAGATAGATATACTGTATATACATGCATATTATAAAGAGGACTGGGAGTTAGTGTGACTTTTTTGAATCTTGAATATTGGAGATATTTTATACACATATATATATATATTGTTCAAAAATGTTTATATTTTTCCAGTAAAAACTTAAAGTATTATTATTTCCTTTTAGTAAATAAAAAAAACTTATTCATTCACACAATACATAACAAAAATGTTGCTTTTATTGACAAAATAGATATAAAATAT